ATATATATATAAAATATAAAATATACTTAGAATGAAATATATCTCCGAGATTTAACAAGCAAGCATGGGTTAAAATAAGTGAGTATCGTGTTACCATCTGTCCTAATGATTTTCTCGGTTGAGCTGAAGTCTCTCCACTGTACGGTTCACAGTTGTTGCTGGAGAGACTCCAAGTTACCAGGACGGTGCTACTTGTACTTATAGCCCTACAACTTTCCATTAAAAGCTATGAACATGTTAACATTGGGCATTTCTAAACTCAGGACAAACTTCTGAAACTATTTATCATGGGTGTTTTTGGTGATTGTAGATGCGTAACAGATTTTGGGGGTCAAAGTTCAAACAAAGTTTAAAAAAAAAAATTCATCATATTTCATAATTTTTTTTATAGTAAATTATATGCTATGATGAAAATAATGTTATCTTTAGAAAGACCATTTATTGGCGAGAAAAACGGTATATAATATGTGTGGGTACAGTAAATGAGTAAGAGGGAAAAAAAAGCTAAACACAAACACCGCAGAAATGTAAAAGGAGTCCTGGTCCTTCACAGTAAGAAAATTAAAAAACGATGTGGTCACTAAGGGGTTGACTAAAAATACAGTGAACTAAAAGGTTTTTTTTCCAACTTAGCTCTTTCTAATTAAATTTTTCAGTAACTTTGAATTCCTGACAAGTGAGTAATTCCTTGCCCCCCCAAGTAAGGATCTGTATAGGTATGTATTTTGCTGAACTTGCTACAATACAATATGGTGCAATTAAGAGATTGTTTCTCTAAGACTAAAAACTTAGATTTTTTGGCATGGCCATTCTGCTGGTCCCACTTGAAATCTGTCTTAATGTCACTCCAAATGCTTACGCAGCCACTAAAGACCATTTATCCTCTGCTTATGCATGTTTATAGTGATAAGAGATAAGATATGCAAGAATCAATGCAATCTGACAACAGATAGAAGCATTTGAAAAAAAAAAAAAAGGATTTCTCTTGTCAAGGCAATTGACTTGTTGTAAGTGTTAACAGTTTTATAACATGTTTGATAGTAAAATCTGGCCACCAGCCCACTCCTGGCTGCCTGGACAGTAAAGTGAAAAGGCCAGGTCGTGTTGGAGAATCCCTGGAATTAAATTGAAGGGAGAGCTGTATGTCTACACCTGGAACTAGCATAGAACATAAGAACTCTGAAAAACATCAAGAGCTGCTCCAAGCACTATGACCTCTTATGTGGTTTGAGGTGGTTATGGTGTTCGGATTCTGTACGTGCAGCATTTAGCTGACAGACGCGGCACAAACAGAGTTAACGCCCTTTGCTTTGTCTCCAACTCCGGAAGCTCATTAGCTACTCTGAAACCAGAGGTGCGGGCTGGCCATTGTTAAATCTGTGCATATTTGGTGTTTGTCGTCAGCACGCATAGCATGATGGCGACAGACGACCAATAGTGGTATGGATCCTCCTCTATGCTGACAAAGTCCTCCCTGACATGCCTTCCCTTGCAGTGAGGTGGAGAGATTTCACAGTAGAAGGATAGGGCTGCAGGGAGAACGCACATAATTTTATTGGAGGGGAGAGGATTCAGGAGTGGAGCAAGTCAGCACAGCTTACTCTCCAAATAAAAGCAAAGTTTTAGTGACTCTTTAAGTGTTCTTGTGTAGGCAAACCTTGGTTGAAACAGATCATTGAGGACTTTCAGTAGAGCTCTAAGCACCAAAGACTCAATGTAATATTTTTAGTGCAAATAGGCTCTGAACGACCCCTTACTTTTTTGACCATCTCTATGGCTGCAGAGAAGTCAGGGTAGAGCCCTGCTTTTTCTCAAATGGATCCCAAGTAATTTGACAAAACATATCAGACAAGGCCCAAATCATCTTTTCACCCAAAGCACTTCACTGAGCTGTAGTATTCAACTTGCTTGAGGTGTCCCTTTAATTCCATAGTAAACAAGGTTAAGACAATATTTTCATTAACTAGCTGTTCAGATAAATAACTGTTATCCCATATATCATTATTGCATTTTTAACAAATATCCCATATACACAATTGCGTTTGTTTTAAAATGTAGATTTGTTACAGTGTGTTTACTCTACTGAAAGCGGACATTTTTAAAACCCAAGACATGCTTTTTTTGTCATTATTCAACATTTTATACGAGATTAGGATGTGCTACGCAGACGTTGAAGCTGTATAAGTCAAGGGTTCGGAGATTTTACTTCAAAGAGATATTTTAAATACCGCATGTCTGAGTCTGCATAATAATTAATGTGACCTTCGTGCATAGACACATATAATCATTGCAAAACTACATACAGATGTAGAAACCAAGGGACGTTCAGGTATAAGTGGTTAACACTCACCAAGACTCAAGACACATCTATGATGACTGGAGGGATTTGAACTGACTGCCTTTATACCTCAATAGTTTTTGAGCCAAGCATTTAGCTAACAGACAATAAATCAAATGCTCTCCTGTGTGTCAGGTATTCCATATTATTCTGTATGACAAGTGTACTTTTAATTTAAAAAAAAACTTAAAAAAAACTTTACCTTTTAAGATGACGCAGACCCTTTGAAGGGAACAGAATTTTCTCTATTTTTTTTTTTTTAAATCAAAGTATGCAGTTACTTAATCATGTAGTTCTCTAACAGGCCAGGCATCATTTATTTATTTTTAGCTCTAAGATTTTTTTTTTCCAATTTAATTCCCGTTTTAAAAAAATTATTAAAACTCATAAACTTAAAGAAAAAAAAAGTAAAAAACAAAAACAAAAAACAAGTTAAAAAGAAAGAGCACAACTTAAAGTAATTAAACGTGAAGAGCTCTAAACACCTTGAGTGGTATCCCCTAAACCACCTCTATACATACACAAAATATACATACATAAAGTGGAGCTGGTGTAATGTAAATCTGTAAAGATAAAATGTAACAAAAAATAGTGCAATATTGCCAGTACAAAAACTTTTTGAATTGGTAGAATCAGGAATATCACTCACAAGTGGAGAGCCATTAAATAATAATAATAATAAAGGGAAACTCCAGTGCCAGGAAAACAATCCGTTTTCCTGGCACTGCAGGTCCCCTCTCCCTCCCACCCACTAATCCCCGGTTGCTGAAGGGGTGAAAACGTCGCTGCTTCCTCCTCCGCCACCACTCCTCCTCTGCATTGCGGTGGGCGAAACTGATTCTGCCCACCAGTCGGGGAGACCTAATGCGCATGCGCGGCAAAGCCACGCATGCACATTAGCGCTCCTCATAGGAAAGCATTGAAAATGCATTTCAATGCTTTCCTATGGGGAAATGAGCGATGCTGGAGGTCCTCACACAGCGTGAGGACGTCCAGCGACGCTCTAGCACAGGTTTCCTGTGCTAGAAACCAGGAAGTGCCCTCTAGTGGCTGTCTAGTAGACAGCCACTAGAGGTGGAGCTAACCCTGCAATGTAATTATTGCAGTTTATAAAAAACTGCAATAATTACAGTTGCAGGGTTAAGAGTAGTGGGAGTTGGCACCCAGACCACTCCAATGAGCAGAAGTGGTCTGGGTGCCTGGAGTGTCCCTTTAACATCATATGGGTCTGATGGAAAATGTGGTAGGGCACTTGGACCTCCTTTAAGTGCCTTACCACATTTACCATCAGACCCATATGATGTTATTGGCTCTCCACTTGTGAGTGATATTCCTGATTTTACCAATTCCAAAAGTATTTGTACTGGCAATGTTGCACTATTTTTGTTATATTTAATCATTACAGTAAAAACAAAAAACAAGCTTTGAAGAACTATCTGCATTTAAAGTTGTGTATGGCACCCTTCCCTTGGAGATTACAGCTGCCTATTTGTCAGATGTAGCGCTTGGCCTTAACATTTTAAAGGCTTAGAGCAGATTTTGACAGCAGATAAAAGCCAATCGCCCGTATACGCTGGCTATTTACTATCTAAAAATACAGGCTTTATCCTTCGCTTTACTCACTTTTCTCAGCTCCAGTGTATCTATCCCGAGCTTCCTTGAAATCTTCCAATATGTTAACCACTACCACCTCTGCTGGAAGGCTGTTCCATGCATCCTCAACTCTATCAGTACAGAAGTATTTACCGACATTAAACACAAGTTTTCCTTTCTCCAGCTTCAGACGATTGTCATCCCATTGTTCTAGCTTCCCTCTTTCTTCTCAAAGGATTTAGTTAAATTAAATAGCTCTATAACTTAACACCACCGCATGCAAACAGGACAGCTGATAGTCATAAGAACAAACACGAATAAAACTGTTTTTTTAATGGAGAACACAGAAAACTAATGTTATCACAGAAAGAAAAAAAACACATGTACTTCTCTGGCAAACAAAGAAAGAGATCTTAGGAAACAATATATAAACCTGTGGAACAGATGGTCAATATTTAGTTTAGATTTTTACTCATTAAATGAATATTTGGCCGAACCCGAAACAATCATTTTGAGAAAATGAGCTTGGCGCTCGTACAGATAACACTGTGCTCTAGCAATTTGCGGGCCTTGTTATTTGCTGATCCCAGAGAGATTTTAAGACTTTTTGAAAAGTGAAATTTTAACTAGTGTACCATGCGGAGTACAGATTATTTTGTGTACACAAGACTTGGTGTAGAATAAAAAAATATCAATTAGACATATTTTAGAATTTTGTTCATCATATATAAAAGAACTCTCTATATCTCTATATCTCTATGGGGTGGGGGTATGATAGAAGCATTTAAATACATAAAGGGAATCAACACAGTAAAGGAGGAGACTATATTTAAAAGAAGAAAAATTACCACAACAAGAGGACATCATCTTAAATTAGAGGGACAAAGGTTTAAAAATAATATCAGGAAGTATTACTTTACTGAGAGGGTAGTGGATGCATGGAATAGCCTTCCAGCTGAAGTGGTAGAGGTTAACACAGTAAAGGAGTTTAAGCATGTGTGGGATAGGCATACGGCTATCCTAACTATAAGACAAGGCCAGGGACTAATGAAAGTATTTAGAAAATTGGGCAGACTAGATGGGCCGAATGGTTCTTATCTGCCGTCACATTCTATGTTTCAATATATCTACATCTATCAGAAGAGAAACAATCAGATGTTGTGTTAAAAAATGTTACTGAATCCAGCACATAAAATTAGCTAGGCCTTTCATTTTAGAATGGTGGGTGATGGAGATCTGTGTGTGATGGCACAGACCTCTTTACTGGTTCCTGTTGGCATATTGCAGGGTGAACGCAAACAGCTGGTAACTGAGCATTAGCCAGTTATCAGAAATTGAGATTAACTGGGAAAAGACTAGGTCAACAAGGGGTAATCTTGACATTGCAGATGTTTTATGAATTATCTTTTCCGTCATACTCAGAAAGGTAAGATAGCTGCCAGAAGTCTGCTCGGTTGAGACGGCATGTATTGAGACAGAAAAGGAAATTGGTCTGTATCAATTTACCCCATTCACTAATAAACCAACCATATAAAAAGACATAATAATAAACTTTGTCACACCAAAGGATTTTGGGAAAAGTATATAGCGAATCAGCATCAAATGCCCTGTCTGTGCCAACTGGAGATTGCAAGGTTAAAAAATAATTCAATCTAAACAATGAGCGAAAATTAAGCAGTACATAGGATAAACGAATAAAAGTGTCTGTAGCTACTTTTGTTTGCTGGATTCAAATACGTTCATCTGAAAGATGTATATTTGTACAGAAATCCCATATTTTTTGTTTCAGGAGGATTGTAAGGGGTGTTAAAAATGATGTTACAAATGAAAAGAAATACAGCTAAGCGAAGAATTTCTAAGACAGTCTGTATTGTAATATAAAAAATGCACCATAATAATAATAATAAAAACACACACACACAGCACAGCAAATGTCAAGTCTTGTTTTACTGCAGACAGCTTGTTCCTTTGACACCTACAGGAAAAAAAGGTAATCCTCTTTGGAGAAAGTGGCTTGAACTCTCGTCGGCGTGCACCGTATAATTGTGCTTTGACTTGTTTGGAACATGTCCGTCTTAACAGAAGGTTTTGTAGAACATGGAACTTGTTAACACTTTTCGGTAGCTTCGGCCACAAGAAAGTTTTGGTCTTCGGGGGTCGAGTGGAGTGGAGAGAACCAGAATGCGGTGATGAATACATTGACAGCCGTGATAACCAGAATTAGCCCAGTCACAATGTTATTCAGCAGGTGTACTCTACAAGGAGTAATGAAGGCAGGTCAGTGAACAAAGGCATCTCTTATAGACATGAGGAATAACCTCACATGCAGAGTCTACAATAACAGTAACAAACTGGACTAAAATAGATGTATTACCAGTCCTTAGAGTGGCTGGGGTTAACGCACAATAAAGGGGACACAAAGTCAATTACAGCCTAGGTCAGGATAACAAAGAGACAGCGTAAACAAGACCTCACTGGAATCAGGTAAACGGTGTATCAGTAGAACAGGTAAACAAGTCAGAAGAGGGTAACAGAGAAACTCAGGGTCAGGAACCCTGATCCAAGGTCAATACCAGAAACATCACAATGTAACAAAGGACGCACTTAAGCGTACTGAGAACAAAAATCAGGAAAGGGCTCAGTAAATGGAGCCAGAGGTGTTTAAATACTGGTATGTCTGATTGGATTGGTCCACGTCATGCCTGTGACCCCAGAACATGCGTGAACGTGGATGCCGGACAGACGTGGAACAATCCGAGTTGGAAATGACTTTACGTCCCCTGTGTGTCTTTAAGAACAAGCTCCGAATGCGTGAACTGTTATTTCATTCCTGATTGGTTTGAGGACCGGGTAGACACCGTTACACTCAGCCCCAGAGCAATTCTCACATTTTACATCATGGCCTAATTGTGTTGCAGTTGGTAATGCGTCCATTATCAGATAAATGTTTTGTTTCTTTTTCCCTTTTCAGAGCCTGAAGCAGCAGTTCATCAGTTCCAGCTGTGCCCAAAACGTAAAAACACTGCTGGCAATTAAACGAGATTTCTACCAAATGTCATAAGTGTCTACATGATGTAGGTTGTATAGGGTTGGGCAGAGATAGGGTTAATACCAGCCTTACCTCCTTCTCAGCAACCTGTAGATATTATACTAGCAATACTCCGTATCCTGCTCCCATGGGAACATTCAAAACAATCACCAACATATATAGTAGCACTAAGTAACCCTTTCCTCACCATAAATATGATTAAAAATGCCCCTAGTGCCTGTCCCTCGAGACATGTAATTTATTTAGATTTTTACAGAATGTATAACAAGACCTTGATTTTACTATGTCTGCTGGATAGCTATTCCGCGTATCGACTACACTTTCAGTATTAACATTTAGTTTCACATAAATGCTATTCCAGGCACCTTCTATTCCTTTCATATTACTGTTGTCTACCACTGGTATCTGCCACTCTTTCCTTATCATCGTAAGCATTGACAGCTACCTCTAGAAAACCATTAAAATGATTACCCTTTTATGTCACAGTTCCATGTACTGCTGCCTCTGAAAGGTAATGAAAGGTATATACTACCCTTTATATATTTATAGATTGATTTTCGCACCCCTCTGGGTGGTATTTTTTGTATTGCTCATTCTCGGGTCCTGACAGACATTTGTCACAAGTTTAATTACATGAGCTGGTACATTAAACCTGGTAGCCCTCTTTTTCAGTACATTTCCTATTACCAAAATTGTTTAGCATCCACTTTATTTAATTGCCATAACAAAGATTTAAATCTCTTTTTTAGTAAGTAACAAGTCCAAAAGCTGAAAAACAACAACAACAAAAAAAACAGAAGAAAAAAAGAAAACAGAGCTCTCGAGCTCGGTATAAAAACTGGCAGCATGACTCAGAGTAATAAACACAAACAGAATACAATTATAGAGGGAATTCTCTATACAACACAATATATACATAAAAGACGGTTTCTGCTTGCAGGAAGCCGTAATTACATGAGTAAACATGTATCATCTTCTAATCGCGCTGACAAACTCAGCCATACTGCAATCTAGGCAAACAAAACACGCATCGTCCCAGCTTTCTGAGCTGAAACGTTCTGAACTTACTCGAACAGGAGAGACATATAGGCAGGTTGAGTATTAAGGGACATGTCATTCACAAAAGTCAGCAGTGCCAAGGTTAGACCTCGTTGACCTCGATTTATCTCGCTTAATCTCGATCTACTGTAACTTGCTAATGCTCAGCTACCAGCTGTTTGCATTCTCCCTACAAACCCAGTTAAATCTGAGTGGGTCAATGAGTAAGGCCATTATTCTGAGCTATTAGGAGCAGTTCAGTGAAATATCTACATTTGGAAGCAATGGATTTTTCTTGGTGAAGGGAGGACGTTGGTCTTGATAATTACCTTGCTACGTTATTGGGTGCAATATACCATATTGAAGAGCAGCCATGATTCTCCCACTAGATACTTTATTAGAGATATAATTGTCAGCCGCTTTGGGATAAGGCCTTTATGCGCAAATATTGCATCATTTTCTATTAAATCTCTTTAGTCAGACTGTAAATAATGCTGAAAAAGCTTCGCTCTCATGTAGCAAATCTTCGGGCAGACTAATCTTTTCTTTGGCAAGCTTTGTGTGCACTGTAAGAGGAATATACTAAATATTTTTAAGTATCTCTAAATCTGGGGACTCAATGTCTGGCAAAACGTAGCATCCTGCTGGGAACGCTGGGAGAAGGATTTGCTTTGAGATTTTAGCTTAATTCTGCATTAACAAAACAACCGTATCCGCTCATTCAAAAGACATTTTCAAAGAATGATTGATTAAAGCTCCTTGAGATATTTTCCTGCACGTTAATGTTATTATTAAAGGAGCTGCTTGCATTTAATCCACACCATATGGGGTAAAGCAGGTCACAAATTTACCTTTTGGCCACCCCAGTTACAATAGAACCAGGCCTATATTTACTTGTCTACAATGCAATCACGCTCAGCACAATCTGTATCACCTGTGTTCAAGCAAGGTTGCCCTTAGATGCTTGAGTGTTCATAGATTCCGTAGTGTGAAATAGATTTAAAATGATACAAGTATTCTCTCTATTAAATGAGAATGAATGACAAAAGGGGTGATTTGGGGGGCTGAGCATATTTTAATTTAAATGTTACAGTTGTATCATGGTCTGCTGAGCTACTTAGGGGGAAGAGGTGATGCTGTTAAGATTTGGTTTAAACTCCCAAAGTTCATCAAATTTTCCATTGGGTTAAAGCCTCTTGTGTTTTTAGAATGTAGCACCGTTCCTGGGGGAGATTTACGCGCTTCTAACAGAAACAGGGCAACAAATGCCTTTGAAAACAATAATGATTCCACTGGTATCCATGGAGAAATACATTTTTTAAATTTGCCCTACATACTTGTTGGTGACACTTTTGATATATCTAAGTCGTGGCAGCCAGACTCTGTACTATAGGATAATAATAGTAGATTCCAAGTCTTCAAAAAAACTTGTTTAATTGATCAATGTAGAAGCATGTCTTGCATGAGGGAGGGCTAATTTTAACCATATTTCCTCATGACCCTCTGTCTGACACATAACTACGGGAACTGCAAACCTCCCAACATTTCAAATGAACAAAGAGGGACACTTTCATTTTAGGGGTGTGAGTTAGTGGCCAGGGATGGAGCTGACCTGGAAAATTTTGGGTGACTTACCAATAACAATTTAATGAACTAAAACATAATTCAGATCAGATGTACTGATTTATTGTAGTTTAAAGACACATTACTGGAAGTAACATTGCTGTGGAGCTCTGTTATGCATCTAGACACACCGACAATATGGAATAGACATGTGCATTTGTTTTCGTACAAACACGGTTTCGCACAAAAATTTGGATTTTTTCGTATTCGTTTACCGAAACGTAAACAAAAGTCCTACACACAAAAAAGAAACTGAACGAAAGGGCAAATGCCAAATGCATTGCTTTTCGTTTCAGTTCTTTCGTTTATTGGACACACTGCACATGCGCCAATAAAAATAATGCAAGGAGGGAGCTGGCAGCGCTACCAGCTCCCTCCTTGTAATAAACAACCATTTAACCCCCCCACCCCCTGCATTAACGGTAACCGGATTCACATGAGGCGGCATCTCCCCAAACCCTATTGGACACAGGTATTCATGTCCCCTGGTAAATTTAGTATTTAAGAGACCAGTTATTAGTTTCATGTTGGCCCCTGACGAAGGTGCATCTTATTAGGCACCGAAACATGCGTTGGGCGTTTTTCCTCATATCTTGCATATGAGCACTGGGCACTGGTGGTTGTAGCACCATGATTGTCACTTAAACTTTTGAATTTTTGCTCTCTCTTTTTTAACTTTTTTTTTCTATGCCTGTCTAGTTAGTTTTACAGGGAGAGAGGCTTAATAATTTAATCTTATCAGTCTGTTATAGACTGAATTTTCTACTATATATTATTTCATATCTCTCCTTAATGTTCCATTGTGTCGTTATCTTTACAACCTCCTGTTTTCCTAAGGAATAGTTTATCTATACTCAAATCCACACGTAAATTAACTAATTTGGATAGATAGTGCTTGAGTATTACTATCCTTTGGATAGTTGGTTTAAAGGCAGTTATAATTTATGCTTTGGAAAGATTTTAACACTAGACTCTTCCCAGAAGGAACTTATAATTGGGACATAGTTATCTCATTAATCCCTATGCAGCACATCATATTAAAGCTCATGTTTAGGTTTGGGTAACTATTATGTACCGTGTATTTACATTTTCCCTCTGGGGTTGGCATAGAATCATTAGTACCACCTGTATATACTTTTGTTTGATTATTTGGACTTTTGGTCTCTAATAGTATTTACTATAGACGCGGTAGTCAGACTTTTCACTACACCGCATTACGCTATATATATATTTCTAGGTGATGTAACTGGTCCCAGGATTATTTCCATACTGAGACTAGTTACATCTTCGTATTATCTGTTGTTCTGTGACTTTGACACAGACTAAATAGTGATGACTAGAAAATAGCCAGTTTTGTGGGATGTTACCGATATGCAGTGGTTAATACCTACCAAAAGTGGTGCAAGGAAGGACAACCGGCATCATGGGTCATGGGAGCCCCAGGCCTGTCTGGTCCAATCACACAAAATAACGAATGTAGCTCTGTTGCTAAAAAAGTTAATGCTGACCATGATAGAAAGGTGTCAGACTATGCAGTGCATCATGGTTTGCTAAGTATGGGGCTGCTTAGCTGCAGACTGGTCAGATTATCCGTGATGACCCCTGTCCACCACAGAAAGATCCAGTGGAGGCCCCACCTTGCAACTTGCAGGACATAAATTATCTTCTGCAAATGTCTTGGTGCCAGATACCACAGGGCACATACAGATGTTTTGTGAAGTCCATGCCTCTACGCATCAGATCTATTTTGTGGGGGACCTACGTGATATTAGGGCAGGTTTTAATGTTGTGACTGATCCGTGTATATGTACATAGGAAATATATATATATATATATATATATATATATATAGACAATGTAATGGAAGCCTATATCTTAGCAGTGTGTCTAAATCATTTGCCATGATGTAAATGATCTAAATCCAACGTTATTTAATATAGATGTAAAACAGTGTTGTTCACTAAGCACCAGATTTTGTCTGAATGGACAAAATCCTATGAAAATTACCGAATTCATACTACGTGGCAATTTCGCAGATTTACTAAAGGTAAAAAAGACGTGCATGGGTTTTCGCCAGTCCAACTGATTCTGTAGAAGCTCGATGGAGGTTAGTGGAAGAGAACGCCCAGAAATTGTAGATGGATAAAAATATATACTGACCAGGCATTCTGTTTACATGATGATTCAGTAAAAAGGCTTAACTCATAGTCAAAGCATTAGGTGCAATTTGAAGTCACTGGGACCCCTGACTATTATAACCAAAAGACCTATTGAGATATTTTTAAACCATGATCTTAAATCCAGATTTATTTATGCAAATCGATTGCGTAAAATTTTCAACTGAACTAATTACATGTAAATGAGATGACCGGCCAATTACTCTCAATTAGCTGCGAAAAGTGCCAAGACTCCAGAAAAGTAAATTGCAGTTCAAACCTTGTAGTTTGTCCCCTGGACCTAAAACTTTAATTTAGAACTGTGGATGGTATTGCATTGTATGATCTTAGCAGATAACCACCAACCTTATGCGCTAAGCGGCTTGTACAATAGAACTGATGGCCACTGTAGAAATTGTAACTATTATATTTGATCTAGGACAATATTTGGAGCCCCAATGCTGTGACAGAAAGGTTTCTGACAGAAGATTGCTCAAGGTTCCTCAAGGTTCCTCAAGGATGGTCACTGTTACATGATATTAACATTTCATAATCCACACGGTAAACGTAATTGTATACAGAAATAGTGATCCACAGAAACCAGGTCAATAGGAGGCAATCAGAAAAACTCTTTATTCTTGCATTGTCAGAAGAACATTTCAAAGGACAAAGTAAAAAAAAAATTTCAATAGCTTTATGCCTGGATTCAATGACCTTTGATAAGTATAACACTGGCAATGCATTGTTTATTCATCTATCGAGGTCTATAGCAAAATTAAATCACCAATGTCAGTGTCTCTGTTTATAGGATCCAACACCTGAGCAAAATAGTCTATGCCTAGCAATTAAATTCTAATTTTTAAACAAGAGATATAATTGAAGTGGTCCTCCATTTATGATTTAGACCAAGGATAGGACGAAAGGTGAGGTACTAAAAGTCTTATGACCTTTAGCTAAGCTTTGTCTGACGATATGGATTATATTTAAAAAGCACCAATACTGTCTATAGTGTGTTTTAATTGTTGTTGTTTTTTTTTTTTTACCACTCTGAAGTTATTTTTTTTTTGTTTATAGAGTATGATTATTTAGTTGTTTGTAAACACAACATCAGGTTGATAATTGCATTTCCTAAATGTCGCTATTATGTAGCAAGTACACACTCTGTGGCCAACCACATGTTCAGTCCCAAAGTATGTTAGTGTCTTTCCTACTCTGCAGTATAACTTGGCTACAGGCATGTAACCTTTACATGATGATATATAATTTTTATATATATATATGTATTAAGGCAATTTGCCTGGATTTGTGGGAGGTGCTTGGTATACACTCTTAGCCTACTTAAGGCACGCCCCTTACCTTGTTTCTTACCGTTCAAGGTCAGCGTTGAAGGGGATCCACTTCCGGGTTCTCTCAGACGCCATCTTGTTTTTTCAGTATCCACAAGGTTTTTCCGCGGCAAATTGTATCCAGGAATCCTGTTCAGGCCTTTTCCGTCCGTCCAGCTTCTTCTGACCCCGGTCATCGTCGTAGATCGCGTCCCAGGAACTCCTAAACCGTAAGTTAGACCTACCTGTCACGCCAGGATCGGTTCCCACGGCGTACGGTACAGCACGGGTCCTCGCTTTACGGTTTTTCCCTGTTATGTCACAAATTGTACAAGCCGTTCGCGGTTTTCATTGGTACGGTCATTCGGCTAACCAGTATATTCGTATAAGTAGTCATTTCGCAAATAACTATTCCATGTTACATTGAAACAGATTATCATTTCGGTTGTTTTGCTGTTCTGCACTTTTTCATGATACGCTCAAACACGCTTGCGGTTCGCATAAAATTCATACGTTTAAACTATTCGTTCCAACTTCTGTTTTCCCTCACATTGGGTTTCGATTTTATTTCTATGTATTACGCATAATCCTTTCGTGGATTACATTCACCATTTTATTTATATAACATACATATGTTAACGAATTGCTTGTTTAACCCCTTAAGGACCAACATTCTGGAATAAAAGGGAATCATGACATGTCACACATGGCATGTGTCCTTAAGGGGTTAAATAGACAGATTATTTCTATTACTGTTTAAAGGTATCAGTATTGTATTATGTCCATGCAAAACCAAGCTTACTTATCTGTATGGATCATTTTGACTCCCACACTTTCAGGGGTCTGCCATACTTACCCATTCATTCAAATGGACTCAGCCTACATTACAAGCCTCATTTCTGTGTTATAACTACGACACATACATAAGGGTACAGTTTCCTTTTACAAGCAATAAATTCTCGGGTTGAATCACGTACTGATCCAACCAATCATACGTCTTTTTTCAATACAGATATATATATATATATATATATATATATATATATATATATATATATATATATATATATATATATAACTTTACATCACTTTAAGGCATTTTGTGTATCCCTGCCCTTTTTTGTTATTCTATTACATATCATACATAACGCTGTTTAAATATAGGCCACAGGCTCCCTCATCCATGTTCTTTTCTATTTGACACCATCATATATTCCCCACTGTTTTATACAGAACTGTGCATTAAAGACACAGCATCACTTTGCCTTAGTAACACATTTATACTCTCATGGTATATCACTACACTTCATTTACCAAGTAATATGCCAAGCAAGCCTTAAAAAACATCACTGGTACGTGCTACACAGTCTACTTCATTCCCACACAGTCCACACTCACTATTCTACTCTATTTTACCCATTTTCAGGCTGTCCAGGTTTAAATAGATATTTCATCACACGGTTTCCTGTGAGATATACATACTACCAGGTACGTACACCTGCTCATATGGTATTCTGCCATACATTTAATTTCTTCCCCCCTAGGTTAGAGTACTGGCAATAGGGTCATAGGCTTCCCAATGCTCTTGGCATTGCCATCAGTTAGTGGTCCCGCGAGGCCAACACCCCGCCTCAATGTTTCAGAGGCAAAAACCCATCGGGCCACACGTTAGATAGCCGCCTCGCATGTTGCATAGAGAGGGCCTCACCTGTCACTCCCTTCCCCTGTTTTCTATGTTACAGTCACTGAAAGGGTTAAAATTCCTGCCACTACGATGGGTGGCCTCAAATCCCCTCGCGCCAACGCATAGATAGAGCCTCTCAAGCCACTTGGCAACTAGTAGGGCCTCAATTGTCACCAAACAAGTGTAATGTTTCGCTATCCGGCTTAGCTAGCCTGCCAGTACGATTTTGGTGGTTTTTCATACACTAATTAATTGTTTTGGTTATAGTATGTCTCAGGAAGGGGTAGAGGATTTCTCCCTGCCTAGCACTCCAGCTAGAGCTATCACTCCTACACAAGGAGGAGAGGTAAATAGTCCAGCATCGATCAGATCCTGGACGATCCCTCGTATAACTACCAAATTAAGGAGACGGCAAATCCCCTACCCCGCTACAGCAAGGAAAGCAGAACTTTTCAAACTGCTACGTACCTCAAATAACAACATGGATCCCGGTGAAGGACCTAGCCAGTCCAACCCAGGAGACGTACATTCCATGTTATCCTCACTCATGGCCTCCATGAGCAAGGTCAACTCCAGGTTGGAGAAACTTGAGTCGGTCACCACGGCCCTTACTCTAGCAGGGCCACCTGCTGCTGCTTCACAAGCACCAGCCGACTTGCTATTGGTTCCTCCAACCATCACCTCGGATGACCAGGAAGTTAGCCCTGCTCATATGATCCCTGAGCACATAAAAAGAAGGTAAAGATGTCAACCTAGCTTCTCTGCTGATTGCCTCCCAGGATATTGTGGAGAATAAGACTTATGCTTATGATGATGTGTCTGTTGTTGTCAGATGTAGGGACGCCCGCCTAAACAGGAAACTGACTATCCCCGTGTTTGTACTGGCCTTTGGTATTTACCGGGATGTCACCTGTGCGGTCTATCCCAATAGAATGAGGAGTTTGATCTTTATATGCACAAGCTGGTAGACCTGGGCAACACATATGGTGGTTCAGCCTTTTATGACTACCATAGGTCTTTTTCTGCAAAAGTGTCTGGAGCGTTCTCCCAGTATGGAACAAGATCCAACTGGGGAAGGATAGATACCGTCATATTTTGCAGACACTTTGCAGGTCCGAGAACACTGGCTTGTGCATACTGCTCCTCTACAGCCCATACGACAAATTTCTGTCCCAACACGGCTGACGAGCATGCCTCCACGCAAGGAGCTAGTTCCTCTGGTGTTCCAGAGAAAGTGACCAGAGACAAACTGGGATGCCCGATCAAGTTCCTGGGCAAGTCCACAATATGTAATAATTTCAATGTTGGGTCTTGTAATTATAGCGGTTGCAGATTATTGCATATCTGCTTAAAATGTTTTAGGGCACATGCAAAAACCATGTGTCCAAATAAAATGTATTCTAAGCCTTACCTCACGTCCATCAATATGCCGGTGTTTACTGCATTTATGTCACATCACCCGTCTAAATACTTGGTGGACTTTCTTATCTCTGGTTTAACAGAAGGCTTCCACACGGGTATTCTACACATACCAACCGGGACTCTGGAATGCCTTAATCTACAATCCGCACAACATAATCCCACAGCTGTTGACACTCTCATAGCCCAAGAAGTTGCTGAGGGTTTCGTATCGGGGCCTTTCAAAGCTCCTCCATTCAAAGAATGGCGTACTAACCCCATTGGTATTGTCACAGGGAAATCTTCCCTTAAACAGAGACTCATCATTGACTTGTCTGCACCACACTCATCGGCCAACCCCAGTCTTAATTCCCTCATACCCTCCGAGGAATTCTCCCTGCAATACACCACCATAGATCACGCCATTACAGCGATCATACAAGCAGGGGTCAGAGCCTGGCTTAGTAAGACCGATATTACTAATGCCTTTAAATTGCTACCAATCCACCCCACACTGTGGCACCTGCATGGAATCAAGTGGGCCAGGAACTAATATTTTTTCTCCCGTTTAACTTTTGGGTCCAAAAGTAGCCCAGCTATTTTCGACACATTTGCCGAAGCATTGTGCTGGTTACTATTGAACATAGCCAAATGCCCTACGGTATTACATTACCTGGACGACTTCTTACTGGTCGAGGAAAATACTTCCCCTCCTAGAAGCCTCAAAGCTACCACCAAGCTATTCGAGCAACTAGGTGTACCAATCTCCCCTAAGAAAACGGAGGGGCCAGACACGATTATCACTTTCCTGGGTATTCAATTAGACTCAACCACAATGCAAGCAAGCCTACCACATGACAAGATAGAGAACATTCTTACTTACATCAACCGCTACCTTCAGCTCGGTACTTGCAACCGCAAAGAGCTACAGTCCCTGCTGGGGTCACTAAATTTTGCCATGCGTATCATACCTCAAGGCCGCTCCTTCATATCACGACTCTTGTATGTTTTTCCACGCTTCCTACACGACACACACAGGTTGTCCTTAGATAACCAAGCTACGGCAGACCTACGCATGTGAAAGGAATTTTTAACCACTTGGAATGGTAAAAGTATGTTCCTCCCTCAATTGACTGACTCATCACCTACTATTTGGTCAGATGCAGCATCTACCACAGGTTTTGCAGCAATTTTTGGGAACGAATGGCTTTGGGGAAGCTGGCCTACAGCAGTTCAGGATTTGAAAGGTTTTTCCACTACCTCAGCTCTCTTTGAGATCTATCCCATTGTGGCGGCTGCCATAGCATGGGGTCATTTATGGGCAAATATGCCAGTTTGTTGTTACTCAGACAACCAGACAACCTGTCACATCATCAACAAAGGTCGCTCCAAATCCCTTACGATCGTGAGATTTCTGAGGAAACTCACGTGGTTAGCAGCTTGTCATAATTTCTTTCTATATTGTTTCCATGTTCCAGGAATATGTAACACAGCTTCTGACATTTGTCTCATTTTAAATTTCAGGCATTTCATCAAGCACTCCCGTCAGCTGCGCTCACAGCCACTACCACTCCAACATTTCAACAACTAATACTGGACTAGATATCATCATGCATCATAGCAGGACACTGTCTCAATTGGCACTGTCAAAGAATACACACAAAACATACGACAGGGCTTTTACAATATTCAAAAGATTCCTTTTGGAACATAACATCATGCAACCATTTGTTATGACATCTTTTTTGGGTTTTGCTTCTTTTTGCCACCTTAAACTTAAAATGTCATATAACACCATCAAACTTTATCTCACAGGCATTCAACACCAAATGCTAATCTTACAACCTAACAACACTAGTTTCATGGCCTCTCACCAGATCAAGACCATACTCAGAGGCATTCAGAAATCTGAACCCACACCTACATCACAGAAGCTACCCATAGATAACCATATCTTCAAAGCATTATCTAACCTGCTTGATTTAAAACCTTTTGACACCAATACAAATTCTGTCATCAAAGCAGCAATATACATAGCTTTCTATGGATTCCTAAGACCTAGAGAGTTTACTACAACCAACATAACACAATCTGCTCCTATTCTCCTCTATTCCCACTTAACAAAACACATGGATCATTACATCCTGACGCTACCTCACTCCAAAACCAGCCAGCACATACCAGTAAACATTCCATACTATCCCACGCACAACAAGTGGTGCCCGTCAAGGTTCTGGATGCATACCTACAGCATCATATTTCAATAACATCACAACCATTACTACTATTACAAAGTTCGGTACTCACCACTACAACCTTCATGACCTATGTCAGGTCTTTGCTCACTCAACTGGGCCTCAAAGCAGCTAACTACTCATGGCACTCCTTCCGCATAGGAAGCGTCCACAGCCTCAAGTGTCAACATTCCAGTTCATGTTATAAAAACACCGGGGCGCTGGAAGTCATCCGCTTACTCACGATACATACCGAACCCAGTACAAGAATTTAGGGATGCTTTCAAAAACATGTCTGGTTGATATATGTATCTGTATTGGTTGTCTGTAATAAATGTGATTACTTAATTTTTGCCCTCTTCTTTCTCAGGCCTACCTCATCGTCGGTTCCGGCACACCACAACCGACTTGCCCTTTTTACTATCCTACATTTAATTATGGTATTTTACTCTGTACTATCATGAGCACCTAACACAAGTATTAAGGCAATTTTCCGTTTTTTGTGGGAGGTGCTTGGTATACACTCCTAGCCTACTTAAGGCACACCCCTTACCTTGCTCCTTACCGTTCGAGGTCAGCGTTGTATGACCCTCCCACCACACCACATTTTAACATTTATTTCCTTTCTATTGCTTTTTCCTGGGTAGGCCCTCTTCTTTCTCAGGCCTACCTCATCGTCGGTTCCGGCACACCACAACCGACTTGCCCTTTTTACTATCCTACATTTAATTATGGTATTTTACTCTGTACTATCATGAGCACCTAACACAAAGGATAGTACGAAAGGTGAGGTACTAAAAGTCTTATGACCTTTAGCTAAGCTTTGTCTGACGATATGGATTATATTTAAAAAGCACCAATGCCTACTGTCTATAGTGTGTTTTAATTGTTGTTGTTTTTTTTACCACTCTGAAGTTATTTTCACTTTTGTTTATAGAGTATGATTATTTAGTTGTTTGTAAACACAACACCAGGTTGATAATTGCGTTTCCTAAATGTCGCTGTTATGTAGCAAGTACACACTCTGTGGCCAACCACATGTTCAGTCCCAAAGTATGTTAGTGTCTTTCCTATTCTGCAGTATAACTTGGCTACAGGCATGTAACCTTTACATGATGATATATAATTTATATATATATATGTATATATATATATATATATATATATATATATATATATATATATATATATATATATATATATAAATATATTATGCATGTCTATACTTTTAACACCAAGAAAATTGCCTTTAAAACAATTACCTGTTGGCTAACTCTAATCTAGTTGTACGTCCAGAAACAATTGAAGTAATTTATTTAAAATAAAAAAAAGAAAAGCACACTTGCCAGAAAATGAATTTTTACTGGTAGCCTCAGCTCATTATTTAATGAGATAATGGTGAGGAAAAGGGTGACACAAGCCCCTGGCTCAAATAAAAAAGGATTATCAAATTAGTGTCAGCTCACGTCTTTTGGTATTTGCAGCCAGAGTTATGTGGGCCATAGATCACCCATTCAAAATCCAACCTGTGCTCCTGCTGGAGTCTTTGCGGGAATAAAATGCAGAAGGGTCAGGGGAAACACCCTTTCTGATATATGCAGTGAGCAAAAGTATCAATTATCATGGTACAAAAATGACACTACTCAATTCTTTCTGTCCTCTACCCCCTCACCCCCCAGGTAACTGGACCAGGGTGAGGTCAGCCTGTTGCTGGTGATTGATGGTACCATTCCAGAATTCTTTCTACCTCCGGTAACTTATCAGGTCAAAGGTTCCTAAATTCACACCCCTTCGATGCCCACTGAATTTTTTGTGAGCCATTTAATAGCCTCATCTCTTGTCTTTTAAATTTTTCGATAATTAACCTAGTTGTGTTTAACCTTTGATCACCTCAGATGGACTTTACATTTTTTATTTAATACTAAGATACAATTTTACTACTTACAATTTTACATTTTCACTTATCGGTTGATAATAAAGAACTGTACAAAGTATCAAATGAACAGGAACAGCATATCGCAATGTTCCCTTGTAGAACATTGTACACTACTCCCCCAAACAAAAAAGCTAATTTTGATTTTGTTATGTTATTGTTTGCAGTGTTAACGATATGATGAACCTGCAAACCTTTCATTGTCCGAGATATTAAACACATTATGCCAAGTATTACAATGGCATTTAAAGGGTTACAACTCAATCCTCCACCTCTCTGCAAAAAAATGAAATAAATAATAATAATATGTCAACCTAACGCACAGGACGAGGGATAATAGAGATGATCTAATTCTGTACAGAGTACGTTTAAGCCATATTCCCATGGAACACACGGACAGAATGTGATACGGCTGAATATATAGGATCTCTTGCAACAGTGTACACGAATATGCTTACATAATGAATCTTCTTTTAATTACCCAAAGCTCTTTGCAAATCTAGGATACCATCTGTCCTAATGCTAGCTTTTTGATGGCATGATGGACTTTTTTGTTCCTCTGTAGTTAGCCAAAATAGCACAGCATAAGTTAATGAATAAATAAACAATTATTAAGAAATTGTCAGGGCAGATCCATCAGAACCTCTTTAGAGGAAAACCAAATGCATTTTTATGTTAGCGGATGTGCCTGGCTTTGTTCTGTTCAATGCACCTTTTTCTCTTCTGTTATTGTTGCAGATGTTCATTTTTGTCATGTTTAATTCGTTGCAATCCCTATCACGGGTCACACTGTACTGACACAGTATAATATTTAGTGCAGACCAGTTATCTTTGAAGGTTAGTGTTTTGTGCTAACTAACCAATCACACGTTAGCAGGGTCGGACTGGGGACACAAAAAAAAAAAAGCCCTGGGAAAAAAAAATCTATGCCAGGCCCATAAGTCATTGTGCCATGTATTGTCACATGTAATATGTAAGGCTATGTCTTGCCACCCCAGAGGATTGAGTAATATAGAAACACATAATATATATATTATGTGTATATTATGTGTTTCTATATAGTATATATATTATGTGTTTCTATATTACTCAATCCTCTGGGGTGGCAAGACATTGCCTCAGACGAAGGCGCTGTAGTAGCGTCGAAACGCGCGTCAGGCTCACTCTCAACTTTATAATTTATTGTACATTTTTTCATCACTATGGATAGTTTATGAGGGTTTTTGAATAATACCTGCGAGGGGAAACTCTCTTTAATGGGGTGTAGTTAAGGACTACTTTATAGCCAGCATGTAGGGTGTGTACATGCTCCCTACAAAACATCCAGCTTGTAGAGTGTGTACATGCTCCCTACAGAAACACTCACTGACACACACATGCTTCCAACAGACAAGGTCAATGACACACACATGCTTACTATGGACAAGCTCACTGACACACACATACAAGCATACTGGTAGGTGAAGTTGCCATTTTGAAGCCCTTCTTTAGAGCGAGGTCAGCAACGTGTGTGGAGGCGGGACTTGCGTTCAGGAGGTGGGCCTTGCGTGTGGAGGCGGGCATTCATCCAAAATTTTGTCAATTAAGAAAGAGAGACTGACAGGTCTCCCTCCAGCAGTGGGCAGCCTGATTGCGGGTACACCAGCCCCCAGCTCATCCCTCTTTACTCCCATCGGCACTGCACGTTAGTGCTTTGCAGTTCACGATTATCCTATATGTCTCATTTTCAGCTAAGGGTCACCAGTTTCAGTCTTTAAAATGGGCATTGAATTTTTTGTTCTATTTTATTCAGTTTTATCATATTTTTGCTCAACTAATTGCAGCTTCCATGAGGTATATACAGCAAATCTCACCGGACATTAATAATAAAAGCAAGAGCCTTATTCTTTCTCCTGATTGTACCCAAGTAAGAAATAAATCACACAGGGGGTATGAACAGAACATGAAAGTCTACCCTATGATGGTGGATTCATCCATGATTCCAAGAGGAACATGATGCATGAGAGTAAGCTAAGAGGCTTTACGGTATTTCCATTAGAAAATAATTATATTTAAATTCATGAATTCTTCCATTAACTATTTGAAGATCAATGAATATATATGTTAACCTATTAATTTGGTCTTTTTTATATGACAGAGTCATGTGTGGTTAGCCAGAAGAAGAATATCTTACTTTAACAAAACCAGTGAACTGTAGATGGAAATGTCCTGTAGATTTAACATTAATCAGGTTCTACAGAATGTGATGTCCTATTCATTTATCATTATTCAGGTTCTGTAGAATGGAATATTCTGCATATTATGTCAAGCCATATAGAACTGAATGTCCTATTCTTTTGCAATTAGCCATGCTCTCTTAAAATGAATATCCTATATATTTAGCTATTCACAATGCAATGTCCTCATTTTGTTTTAGCAGGACTGCGTAGAATAGAATGTCCTACTTATTTATATTTAGCTAGGATCTATAGAGTGGAATGTCCTACTCATTTATAGCTAGCCAGGATCTATAGAATGCAATGTGCTACTCATTTATACTTGCCCAGGATCTATAAAATGGGATATCCTACTCATTTATAGCCAGGCTCTATAGAATAGAATGTCCTACTCATTTATAGTTAGCTAGGATCTGAAGAATGGAATGTCCTACTCATTTACGGTTAGCCAGAATCTATAGAATGTAATGTCCTACTCATTTATAGTTTGCCAGGATTTATAGAATGGAATGTCCTACTCATTTATAGTTAGTCCGACTCTATAGAATGGAATGTCCTACTCATTTGTAGTTAACTAGGATCTGTAGAATGGAATGTCCTACTCATTTATAGTTAGTCCGGCTCTATAGAATGTAATGTCTTACTCATTTGTAGTTAGCCAGAATCTATAGAATAGAATGTCCTACTCATTTATAGTTAGCAAGTGTGACGAGACCAATCTCGCCACTGTGCATTGGAGGAGCCTGGTTGCCTGCCTGCTGCCTTTTGACTATGGACCGGCATTTAAATACTTTATTTTCCTAGCAGAAAGGTCTATTCATGTATTTCTGCCCTGGCGTTCGGTAGATTTTCAGATTTACTGAATTAACTCATTTAACCCAGATAGCTATGCCATGGAGCCTATTCGTGTAATAAAAGACTTTGGCTCCATGGCAATTGAACTGTATGTGTGTAGTCTGAGCGCCATTCAGTAATAATGTGCGCTCAGACCTAAGCTATCTGGGGATATGTTGCATGTCTGTATTTTATGTAATAAATGTAACCTTGTGTATTTTATTGTATTTTACTGTCTTTTTACTGCCATGTGCTTAATGGAGTTTTGCCTCTGTCCTTGGATTACTTCCCAATTATCTCCAGGATAGAAGACTCTGTGGAACTGGTTTGAACCAATGGACCAGTTTGGATGATATTGACATATGCTTGTATTTGGAGTATGCTGATTCTGAAAATGTAAGTTTTACGTGAATGTGATGTGTACTTTTAAAGTTATGAATAATGTGGAAAAACTGTATTTCTCTGCCTGTGATAATTACATTAACCCATTGTGTGAGGTAATTGTATCACAGACAGAGGGGAGGATTTTGTATGGGAGTGTCTGAGTGTATTGTATGTGTTTATTGGTTGTTTTCCCAAACCCTGTGGGTGGTACTAATGTGTATATAAGAACAATAAACCTACAGCTCTGTCTGTTCACTGCTTGACCCTCAACACAGAGCTTTGTCTCGTTCTTGGGGGGATTTACTGTATGCTGTTCCAGTTTGACTGCTAGGAGTGTAAACCTATTTGTATGGTTTTTCCTATTCGGCTGTTTACAGCATTTGTGTGGTTCCGGTTCAGCTGTTTACGGCATTCATATGCTTCTCCAGTTCGGTGGATTGGTGTCTACAGTATCTGTGCCTGTGTCTCTGGAAGGGGAAGATCATCTAAACGGCGGTTTAACCCTTTTATGCCTGGGGGTGCCGTTACAGCAAGGATCTATAGAATAGAATGTCCTACTCATTTATAGTTAGCAAGGATCTATAGAATGGAATGTCCTACTCATTTATAGTTAGCTAGGATCTATAGAATGGAATGTCCTACTCATTTATAGTTAGCTAGGATCTGCTGTGATATATATGTATATATATATCACACATTTATGTGCACCTATGGGGTAACACTGATTTCAATGTAGACATGTGCTAGACTTTAAATAGAGTATGTGATTGCTTAAAAAGTAGCAAGCTGTAAAATAACAAAAACATGAGTCACTAAAAAGGAAAATAAAATCAATAAGCATAAAAACATGTAAACTCCACAAAATAATGCATTCCAGTGTGTTTTATTTTGAATGTTTTTTTCATAATCAAAGTTTTTCTCCATGCATTATGGGTTACTTGTATGGGAAACAAAGTGCTGCCTGCCGTACATTTAAAAAAAAAAAAAAAAAATAGTGATCTAAAGATTTTTCAGTTTAAAACTTACAGTTACCAGGGCACATAAATCTACTCAGATTTTTAGTGGAACATTTGGCCGTAATATTGACGATAATAATGTGTTCTGCATGAAAATATCAATCCTGTTTTTGTTGTGTTTCACGCAATTTTATGTTTATTGATTTTATATTCTATTTTATTTTTTGCACATCACTGTTTTTTGTTGTCTAGCCAATATTTGTGATTGGCTGGGGAGATGCACATAATGACTGCATCATATTTGTGGGTATAAATCTTTTGGATACTTACTTTAAAGAACTATGCTTAGTTCTTTAACGGAATGATCAAATATTCTGTGGCTTCTCAAAAGGAATTACAGAAACTGTTGGAACTACAACTTCAGTAATGCTCAGCCAGCCAACACTTTGCCCCCCATCTTTTTCAAACTCCTTGTTGTAGAATTATGGATAAGTACTGTTACCTAAAGATCCATGATAGCTAATACACTACCAAAATCAGTATGGAATTCAAGCCACTCGGTTAAAGGGGCAATCTATGCAGCATTACCAATAGATCATCGTAGTAGTTATTCTGCAATAAGTCTAGGGGCACCATTTCCTAATAATACCTGCTGTGAAATTGCCCAGCCTTGGACACCAATGATTGGCTGGGAGCAATGATAATACAGAAGTTTAAATTTCATTTTATATATGCGGCTGCAGAAGGATTGAGCTATATGTGCTTAGGAATGTACCATAACCACTTTAATAAGCTGTATTACAGTACTTACAGTATTCCTCTAAAGCAAGCTTGCTGCTCTAATAACAATTCACAATTTTTCCTGTTATGTTTCAAATAGCCACTGTCCTTTTGAAATTTGACCATGTTAACTTGTGTTCAGCGCCATTTTTTCACCTAGTGGTGAATTTTAGTTTTGCAAAATATAGTTGTCTGCGTGAATAAATCATATATTAAACATTGTGTCCTGATGTCATTGGAATACATGTACATCGATAAATACATAATTGCAGTATTTGTATTATATGTCTTTAACGTTATGACTAAATAGCGGTTAATATCAAACAAATGGAAATTGTTGGGTACAAATTAGTTAAACAGTCCTAAAAATAGGCAGGTGCTTTGCAATGTGGTCTTACAAGCCTGAGATGATTGTATATTGTTGTCAGTCAGCTCATTAGACTTGTCACAAATGAGTGTCTGATTGATAGTTTAATTGGCTGCTGGCATGGATAATTGGTTAATGAGGCCATAATTAGACTTTCTATATATAGGTAATTGTGGTGTTGCTATATCCCGTTGACCAGGAAATCTAACTACGTATTAAGATTCCAATACGGAAAATTGTTCAAATTACACCAAAAGCTGTTACGTGGTTTACAAGCAAAAAAAGGAACTTGACCAACTTTGTTTGTAAAACATCCAAAACCATTTAACCCAAAGAATGGCTAGCGAGCAGAACAAAAGGGTCTTGAGTTAATATAATTACAAACAAAACTACAGCGATGGGAAGACAAAAGGACTTGGCAAGGACAGGAGGACTGTATTAGGGGAACACTTCTATGCCTGTAACTATTTAATGTATACATTTGATTATACAGTATTTATTGCCGCATGACGGTATATTGTTAAGTGGAGTATCCATACAATATGCCATTACATTTAACAAAGTCACAATCCCATATCTGATACATGTCAACCTGCTAATGACGAACTGTCAATGCGGTCAACGTGATCACAACCTCATTGTTCCAATAATTTGTAAGAGCACGTTTACCTCTAGTGGATATTATTAAATGCCAGAATTTTTTTTTTTTTATAGTGGGTAGTTTACTCTTTCCTGAAGACTGTTTTTGGAATAAGCTAATTTTGTAGTAGCTCAATATTGGGTGAAAAGCAGTCTATCTTTGTTGTCAATTAAAATCAGCCCAAGTATCTTTATCATGTTACATCGAAACATATAGAAAGCCCTGACAGATCACTGTATTATTCTTGAGACACTTATGAATTCTGTTGGTTAGATGTTGAAAATAAATGTGGGATTCATATGTTTCCATTCTGAAATTGATCACAGAACTTCCTTTGGAAGATCCACTTGAACCCCTTAAGGATGGAGGCAGTTGTCCAAGTTCTGAACTTGTACCGTTACTTCGGTTGTCAGGCAGTCTAACCAATCGGATCTAGCAAGGACGGTAGTTATCCGGTTTCGAAGGCCCAATCATTAGGGCGTGCTATGCCACCCTACGGTATTGAAGCCTGCCTCGTGCAAGATGGCAAAACATACCCCCCATCCTTAAAGATATAAGGGAATTTTAAGTGAATTTTCATGAATCCCATTATATTTCAGGCAGTAAAATGTTATGGTGATTAACTAAACACACTTTATTAAATTTAATAATGTTGCTCCAGAGCTAGATGTGAATCATGGTTTATTTTTGTGTTATTAAAATACATCTCATATACGCTGGATTTTCTTATTTGTGTTACAGGATTACAGCCTTCTGCTACACAAAAACATAGGCACTTGGAAAGGTTAGAATTCATGTACTTAATGTCTCTTTTCAGTGTAACTATATAACTCTGTAACGTTTTAGACATACAATGCTGTTTAGAACATAGAGCCTGTTCGGCAGCAATGATCGTATCACGAATACAAAAGTCTAAGTGGTCATGTCCACCATCACAAGCCATATTCAGAAACAGAACGTACTGTGTGTCCACGTCAGCTGTCACTTTAATGTCTAGGCTGTGCCAATCTAGAATGAATAAGGGTCCTGGACTAAGGTCACTAACAATGTAGCTTCTCGCTAGCTAAACATGATGATTAAAACATGCAATGTTGCCTTAGTCGAGATGTCACTTTGCACTTTGTATTTTATATAAATATCTCAGTACTTCTATAAGAAAGTGATGCATTCTCACCCAGTAAGTCGGAGCAAACCTCCGATAGCAGGAGCCAATATGAACAAGGCATACATCCTGGAAACACATCTGTAAGTTCAATATTTTTTTGTGGAAGAACCTTATGAATCTTTGAATTTGTCAGACAGAGTTTAAAAGTGATGCCTGCCCAAATTATGTAATTCATGCACATCTGGTGGAAATCAATCAATTAATCATGGCCTCAGTTGCCAAAAGGAAGCAATATAAATAGATACTGGATTTCACACATTCTGCAAGCACTTTCAATCCCTGTCTGACAGAATAAGAATTCACCCGTATCCCCCAAAATGGCAACTTTATTGCAAGTTTCTTAACAAAATTTCATTATTTCCCTCTAACATGTAAAAAGTGGCAGATTTATTTTTTTCTAATCCAGTTATGGTAAACCATGGTACTGCAGATATGTTTGACTATATTTCCCATGATGCTCAGTCATTTAGCAATGCCAATTTAAGTCCCATTAATTAACATTATCTGTCAACACCAGAGCAATGCATCCCTTATGTTTTGTTCACAGGCAGTGTATAATACATCCCACTATCAGCATATGTTGATTGTATCGGCATAAATCACTATTTTTTGTGTGAATCACACAGTAAAAATAGTTTTCTAATTACATTGTTAAATGCTATTTTTTTTTTTACGCAGCTCATAACCACGGGGGGTGAAAGGAGATTGAGAATGTGTCAGTCTGTTCTGTTATTAGTAACCTGCTGTGAAGAGAAGCGACAACCGTATAACAGCTCTTTCATATTAGCACAAATCAAGTCGATTTAAATATTATTATATGAAAAAAGAATATGAAAAATTCAAACTGTAATCAGTGGGTGTGATGTAGAAATGCGACTACTTAATAATCATTGATCAGGTTAATCTATCAGACATACTAATAATTACACCAAGGGCAGTGTTGTTTCCAGGTGTCAAAGGTACGGTGGTATATTCATGAGTGGAAAATTAAGAGTACATTAGACTCCATTGAATAAAGTGTACAGACAGCCCTTTAAATGCTCAGCAATGCAAACTCCTATTTATAGAGAGTAAAAATAGAAGAAAAAATTCAGCACTTGAATAATAATGATACAGTCTTGTCCGGCAGCTCAACAACCAAATCCGGCGTCTCTCTTCTCCGATTGAGTAAAACTCAAGTAAAACAGAGGGGCTAGTGTAAGGCTTGGGATGTTCTTAAAAGTTTTTGTAACGACAAAGAGAAAAATCCGAGAACCGATAGTGTAGTAAGCCATTTGATGGTGGGAAAAATAAGGAATACGATGTACACTTAAACTTTTCTGGAGCTGTAAGCCAGCTCCAACTTAAGCACCGGAGTGGTGTGCATCACCGTAGTCGGGGATCGTACTGCTCGTGTGTAAGTGTACATCTTATTCCTTATTTTTCTCATCATCAATAGACTTACACTATCGCTTCTCATATTTTTCTCTTTGTCGTTACATAAACTTTTAAGGACACCCCAGGCCCTACACCTACCCCTTTGTTTTGCAAAATCATATTTGTTTGATTGGTAGTCTAGAAGTGGTGATTTATACTGACACTCGGTGTATATTAAAACAACGTGTTTTACCTGCAGACAGGATGCAATATCCATTTATAATTACAAACAAAACTACTGTAAGGAGAAGGACAAAATAAAGACCCCCTACCACCTCTTCATACCACATTGTGGCAACTCATAGGAAGATGAGAAAGAGACCACATTATTCTTACCTTCAGTCACATTTACAAAAAATCCAATATAATTCCATGTACAACTTTTCATCCATCAAATGCCACATTTTATCGTATTTTTGCTTTTTGCTACCTCATGCAACAATTCATGAGAAGAGCTATCCTACCCTACGTAGAGGTCCGGTAGAATGGACTACCCAACAGCATGAAAAAATTATATGTGCACCATCACATGGTTGATATGGCAGCCCTGGTCATTGATGATGGGTTGAAGAAACTCTACAGTAACATTTATCATAATGATACATTGCTCTTGGATAGCATTTTTTTGAGAATTACAAAACACTTGATGCGAAAACACTGTGGCAGGCTCCAAAGGGAACCCATGCAAAGACTGCATTGAGCAAAACATTATGAGTGCCGAGAAGGAAGCTATATTTAGCACCTGTATCTAATACAAGAAAGCTGCCAATCATATTTGTTAAATACGCTGTACTATTAGCTAATAAGGTTTCTATGACCTCGGACTGTGTGCTTTCTCGATTACAGTAACCAGTTCGTTAAATGATTCAAATGTCAAAGTCAAGTCAAATTTGACCATTACATCATAAAATGACTCTGTGCATCATTGGAATCATTTCCGAGCATACAATGATTTTGGGATAGACTTTCCTTCAAAAATTCAAAAACCTGGAAAGGTTTAGTTGAGTACAAGTTATTTTCAATAAAAGAAAGATCTGCTGATTGACGATCTGATATTATTTAGCTTGCAGTAAATAAACCTAGGATGAGTGGGAGTTCTTTATTACACGGATAAGGTTATTGGTTACTTGCAATAAATCACTTATCTAGATAGTGTTTCCAGTAGATATTTCATTTTTACGAGGGTGTACCACTCTGCACCAACACTGGATACTTTACTAGATACTCAAATCTGTATGTTACTCTGTTACCTTCTATTAACTCTTACATAATAATAATAATAATAATAATAAATGCACGTCGAGCAAGGGGAATATTGAAAGGATTTTTAAAAACACTCTCTTTGACAGCATTTGTGAAAATTAGAGGATCAGTGTGTGTCACTGTGTGAGAATCAAGGGACCAGTGTGAGTCACTGTGTGAGAAGAACAGGATCAGAATCAGGGCTGCCATTAGACATTTTCCCCTCTTACACAGCTTAAGGCCTGGGCCCCATGAGCTTTCCCCCAAGTGTGGCTACAAGGATAAGTAAAGAGGATGCAGTGTGTTTGTGTGTATATAGTGGATGCTGCGTATGTGTGTTTTATAGTGGATGTAGTGTGTTTCATAGTGGATGCAGTGTATGTGTGTTTTATAGTGGATTTAGTGTGTGTTTTATAGTGGATGCAGTGTATGTGTGTTTTATAGTGGATGTAGTGTGTGTGTAGTGGATGCAGCGTTTGTGTGTTTTATAGTGGTTGTAGGGTGTGTAGTGGATGCAGCGTATGTGTGTTTTATAGTGGATGTAGTGTGTGTAGTGGATGCAGCGTATGTGTGTTTTATAGTGGATGTAGTGTGTGTGTAGTGGATGCAGCGTATGTGTGTGTTTTGCAGTGGTTGTAGTGTGTGTTTTATAGTGGATGCAGTGTATGTGTGTTTTATAGTGGATGTAGTGTGTGTGTAGTGGATGCAGCGTATGTGTGTTTTATAGTGGTTGTAGTGTGTGTTTTATAGTGGATGCAGTGTATGTGTGTTTTATAGTGGATGTAGTGTGTGCGTAGTGGATGCAGCGTATGTGTGTTGTATAGTGGTTGTATTGTGTGTTTTATAGTGGATGCAGTGTATGTGTGTTTTATAGTGGATGTAGTGTGTGTGTAGTGGATGCAGCTTTTGTGTGTTTTATAGTGGTTGTAGTGTGTGTTTTATAGTGGATGCAGTGTATGTGTGTTTTATAGTGGATGTAGTGTGTGTAGTGGATGCAGCGTATGTGTGTTTTATAGTGGATGTAGTGTGTGTGTAGTGGATGCAGCGTATGTGTGTGTTTTGCAGTGGTTGTAGTTTGTGTTTTATAGTGGATGCAGTGTATGTGTGTTTTATAGTGGATGTAGTGTGTGTGTAGTGGATGCAGCATATGTGTGCTTTGTAGTAGTTGTAGTGTGTGTATTATAGTGGATGCAATGTATGTGTGTTTTATAGTGGATGTAGTGTGTGTGTAGTGGATGCAATGTGTGTATACATTTCTGGGGGCAGAGGCTTTTTAAAAAATTATTTAAAAAAATCTATTTGCATTTTTATTTTATTTCCCCATCCTTGCTACTTACCAATGGCTAAGGAGAATGACAATACACTTCAAGGTGGGCCGGTGGCTGAGCCTGGTGGAGCAGTGTAGGCTTCTGCATGCTTTTATAGTGAAGAAGGAGCACAGCCTCCATCGACCCCCTCCGATAGCCTGGCAGCAGCTCCTTTTCTCTCTTGCAAGACTGGCATGCGTGCCACGTGGAATGTTGCCATGACAACCCACGGCAACGCTCAAAGCCTGAGCTCTTGAGAGAATGCTGCCGGAGGGACAACTAGGAGTCGGTCTTCTGGGCCCCCTCTTCACTATGGAAGCCAGCAGTGATCATTTGCTTATTATTATTATTGCATTGCAGTTATTGCAGTATTAGTATAAAACACTTAATATAAAATTGAGAAAGGGAGTGGAGTGTGATAATGTGTCATCCCTTCTCTGAGTGTGAGGCACCTCCAGCAATACAATAAACTGAATTAGATATGGTATTTACAGTGTCCCTTTAACCTAATAACAGTGGGAGAAAGATGGCTTTAGAGGCACAGAATGAAATATGTTCCTATTATATCTTAGTGTGCTAAACTATATTGTTTACCATTATATCCTTGTTTCTTTTCAGCTAAAAATAACAGTACGCGAATATTAAAAACATAAAAAATTTGGTAATTAAACACAAATAAACACATGATATATAACATTTCCTCCCAGCGTTTGAAACAATCAATATGTTATTGAGGTGAAAACCTTAGAAAAGAATCATTATTTCACCAGCTTCCCCACAGCAGTATTAAAGATGTCCATTGTTCTGCGTACCTGTCACTAAGTCTGCGCTCGGGATCATCGCACTCAATGTTCTTGGATCCTTTGTAGATCAGCAGAGCTGCCACTATAAGTTGCAGGATTACTGAAATACACTGAAATAGAATAATTAAATCAACACTTTGTAATATCACTGTGTTTATTAGTCCCTTCAAAAAAAACAAAACAAACAAGAAAACACATTAAAGACTCATGTTTTGCTGATGTAGAAACACTCCAAGCACCATTACTACAAATGCTTGTTGAAGTGGTTATGGTACTAAAAGTGCCCTGGTGCCATCCTACATTAGCTTTCTTATGGATTGCCAAATTACCTGGATATGTCACGTCCCTGCTGCCACGGCTCCAATTTCTTATCTTTCAGCACAATTAACGCTACACAGCATTATGCAGAACCATGCACTCAGAGGACCCAGGTAATACTAAACCATACAAAAACAGTTTGACTACTTACCGTGCAATGGCAGCAGGCTTTCCTGGCACCATAACCACAAGAGTGGGCTGTAGTGTTTATGTTGGTGCCGGGAATATTCCTTTAAATAATGTTAATACATTGCAATCTTACATGTATTTTGTTTTCTAAACAGTATAAAAAATGATGTTCAGTACAGAATGCAGAAGAAATTGTAAGGTAGAATGTAGAATGAAGTCTGTATCCATCCCTGCGTAACTATGGTAATCCCTCCATGTCATATGTTTTGATTTCAGCAATTTCCATTGAGTATATAATTGAACACTTCAGAGATCATTTTTATTTGACATTTATTACTCCACAACAGAGTCAGGAACTTAGCATCCGTTCCCAACATCACACAAGATCTAGGAAACTACCAAGGTCACAAATCAAGCATTGCATCCAGTGAACAGCAATTAAAAGGACACTCTGGGCACTCATCGAAATTCAGTTGTTATGGTGCCAGAAGGTCTCCAGATGCTTTCTTACCTGAAGGGGCTAAACTATTCTCCAACGATTGCCTCCAGTGCTTGATCTCCAATTCCCCCAGCAGCATCCGACTTCTGAAATTGACTATCAAGAAGCGCGGAGTGCTGCCGAAACATGGCTTCGCTGATTGACTGGAGCTGTCAGCTGACTCTCTAAGCCAAACAATAAGCGGTGGCACTCAACGCTTCGAGAACTGTTTAACCCCTTCAGGTAGGAAAGCATCCTGGCAACTCCTGGCACCATAGCATCTTCATGTGTATGAAGTTGTTATGGTGCCCGGAGTGTTCCTTTAATTACTCTGACATTTGTATTTCTGGGTAGAAATACAAAACTAATGTCAAGACTGGTTGTCGAAGTAGTTAATACAGTAAGATGAATGTGATGGGGTTTTGTAGGTGAAATAGCCATTTTCTATTACAAAATGAAAATACAGACAATGACAAAGAAAAATCTCAGCTCTTCTTGTGTTTAATATATGTAGTGTTTGTTTTGTGATTCACCTAAAGGTTTCCCACATCTCCTCTTTGGTTGGATTTTTCTTTGCAGTCTCATCCTTCCACATTCATTTATGCATTGGGTCTTAGAATTCATTAGACCAAGTATTTCCCCGATGAAAGGCTCGGCAGCGGAGGTGCACAGATATATAATATATTTCCTTGAGCAGCTGATGCAAATGTGTCTTGTCTTGTCATTTTTAATGATTGTATTTGATTTTTGCCATCCGTCACCCGTATTCCATAACTTGGATTTAATATAATTACTATTTCTTATGGAGTGAATAAATACCCTATAAACTATTTATGGAATCCCAGCGAACTCTCTGAATGGGATTACATGTTTATGGTTTATTACTTAGGATACGTTTTATGATTAAGTTTAACCTTTAAAGGTCATTTACGGAAACAATGAAATATCACTAAAATATTTAGGACTCTAGATTTTTTCGGTTTGTACTTTGTAGCTATATCAATACAATATTTTGAATAAAATTCAGAACACATCAGTAACTTGAGATATATATATATTGCATACAGGTTTCAGCTATGTGTATGTTTGTGGTTGGAAATATTATAGTAGTATGTATCAGTTGGTGGTGGTGATAAGTCGCTTGTGGTGTGCCAAAACCAATGTACGGGTAGGCCTGTAAATAGAAGAGGGACCACCAAGGAGAAGAATGGAATAAATAAATTAAACAAGGGGTGAGGTGGGTGGGATGACCTGAAACGGAACGGCCCAGGTAAGAGGGGGGGATAGGGTTTTTATAGGACAAACTGCTCTCAAAAATAAAGGCCTTTGGCCTCGAAATATATCATACGAGACTCTGCGCACTCACTAACTCACTAAACGCCAATGTCAAAGCTCACAAAATGTAATAGCTTTTGTGAAAAAAAAATACCTGGGATACATAATGTGAAGTTACTTACAGTAAATGATCATATCTTGCATAGGCCTGCCCCAACGCCATTGTACCTCCATTTTTGATGGGTGCTAATTTACAAAGCTAATACCTGCTCCTATGAGATTAACACATTTACTTGCCTGTCATGGGGGGAAACTGGACAGACACATAAGGTAGTGGGGGATCAAAGGACACTTAAGTGACAGGGGAAATAGGAAGGGGCTGTTGTGGCAAGTTGTGCTTTGAGGGATGGGGCAGAAGCACAACTGGGAGGGACATACAAGTGGGGAAGAGATGGGGCAGGTGACATAAGTGGGATAGATATGAGGGAGACAAAATTGGTGAAAGAGACAAGTACGGTGAGGGGAGGGAGAGACATAGGGGGTGTTGAGATAGAGAGACAGACGCAGAGGGGAGAAAGAGGGGAAAAGAGGTGAAGAAAAAGGGGAGAGAACAAGCTGGTTAAAATAGCAGATGGGAAAAGCATGCAGTAGTGGGAGGGAGATGTGGACATCAGGATGGACAAAAATGCATTTGGAATCGCCAACAATTACAACACTCAAAAATACATCTGCATTCACACACTGACACATCACAGAGGAAGCACAGAGAAGTGTTAACAGAGATTTGGTCTCGCCAGCAGGCTTGCATGAATTCTGCAGCGGAATCCTGCTATACCCTGTCCAAATATTTGGCTAACGAGGAAGTAAACTTACCTAGATATGTTGGCCTAGCAGTATGGGTGGGCTTTAATTACAGAAAGAAACGTAAATTTTTTGTAGATTAACATTTTAAAATGGACAAAAACTGGTGGGACTGGGGAACAGCCTTCTTGCTCCTTAGCCACTACTACAATACGCCCTAGTGGCTATGGCAGGGGTAGGCAACGTTTTGGCTCTCCAGGTGTTGTGAACTACATCCACCCTGATGCTTTGCCAACATTACAGCTGTAAGAGCATTATGGGTGATGTAGTCAATGACATCTGGAATGCAAAGGTTGTCTATCCCTGAGCTATGCTGTCTGGAATATCATCTTTACAGTTTTATGGGGGGGTATTTGTGCCAATGAAGGAAACAGGTACAAGTGCCAAGTACACTAGGTACCCTGAATATGTGTCCAGTAAACAGTAGTGAATCAAAAAACTTAATTTCCAAAATAAGCATTTTGAAAAAAAAAATGTCCCCAACTCACCTATAGTGGCAACCTTTTTTTAAGCCTAAATTTGCAATGTGGTTTTTAATTCAACACAGTTTACTACTTATTTAATTAACCCTATTATCTGAAATTGCAAGTGCTGCCCATCAGCATGAACAATGAAATCACTCTCACCGCGTACACATAAAGGGATACCCAACTGTCAAAATACAAACCTAAATAAAAATCACTGTTTAGTAGATGTACCCCAATGAAACCAAGCTTGCATTTAATTATGCATTTTTTTAATCGGCGGTATATATAAAAACAGTTTACAAAAGCTGTAAATCTCTGCAGCCTTTGCAAGCCCTCCCCTTCTAACCCCACCCAGACTTTCTCTGGCTGTCCAATCAGAGACTTCCCAATGCAGCTTAATGAGAAATATTTGAAAGGCAGGTGCTTTAGGTAATTTCTGCCTCTTGAGTTTACCAGGAAGTAATATGACCAGTTTAATTGACAGTCAATGGGGTGTAACAAGGTTAATTTATGAAAATGCCAATTTCTATTGCAATCTGCACGTTTAGTAAAATGAATAAAAGAGTACATACTTGTCACATGTAAAACACTTCAGTAATAAGAAGTAGGGGTGTGGAGTGTTCCTTTAAGAAATTATTGCTAAATTTTAACAGCAAGGAGGCATGTTGCTAGTCCCAAAGTGAAATTTACTAGTCTCCGTTTTGTACTTGTCTGCTCATGTTTTTTGTTGGTCATTGATAAGTGGATGTGGATTCTCACTGTATGTGTCATTGGAGGGGACCGGATCACTTGTAATGCACATTTTCTGGAATAAAATATATGCTGCATTCAAATTGACCTCTACATCTATAAGAATAGAGCGAGTGAGGATAAAGATAAAGAATAAAATTGAATTTGTGGATTGTACAAATATTTCCCAACATTGAAAGATAAGGAACAGAGTTTGATAAGTGACTCTTGGCTATAAGCATAAAACTCTAGAATATTTTACAGCCTCTTTTATCTGTGCTTGTGTGATACTTTACTACCTGACTGCTTATAATAAATGAGACGGGTAAAGAAGAATATGCGTTTCTATTACTATTACTATTAGTATAATAATAATAATAATAATAATAATTAAAGTAACCAAAAAACACACACAACATAAAGAAATAAACATTGTATGGAAGGTAGCGCAGTCTATATATGTGATCCTGAAAGAATTTTAAAAACCCAAATACAGTTAAAGGGACACTATAGTGTCAGGAAAACCGCATGGTTTTCCTGACACTATAGTACCCTGAGGGTGCCCCCACCCTCAGGGTCCCCCTCCCACGGCGCTGAAGGGGTTAAAACCCCTTCAGCTTCTCACCCTTTCCCCCCGCCGGGCTCCCTTACCTCTCCTCCCCCACCGACGTCAGCACCCTTGTCTGATGTCACCGGCGCGGAATGCGCATGCGCATTCAAAGTGTCCGTAGGAAAGCATTTTTTCAATGCTTTCCTATGAACGCTCTGCGTGATTGAGGCATAATATGCCTCAATCACTGCCGATGCGCCTCTAGTGGCTGTTCGGAAGACAGCCACTAGAGGCTGGCTTAACCCCAAATGTAAACATAGCAGTTTCTCTGAAACTGCTATGTTTACATCAGGAAGGGTTAACCCTAGAGGGACCTGGCACCCAGACCACTTCATTGAGCTGAAGTGGTCTGGGTGACTATAGTGTCCCTTTAATTACTATTACTATTACAGAGTGAATATCAGGGTTTATTTAAAAATCTATTTTAAAAAAAACCTTTATTTTTATCGGATAATATATTTAAAAATAGCATTTATATAGAAGTATAACGTTACCATCACCATCTGAAGGTGATACATTATTTACAATATTTCGATGTAGAGAGCATGTTATAGAAATGTTGATATCTGAGCCAAACTCAACTTTCCAAAGCGTGCAATAACAGTCATGGTTTATATCTGGGGAGCATTCGAAGATGGCTATGAGTAAGGGCCCTGGATCTGAGCTACTTTAAGTAGAGCCAGTAGTACACAGGTCAAAGTGAGATTATCATGCCATATTTTGAATTCATTCACCGCAGTGGCCTATATAACACCGGGTTTTCGAAAAGACATTATCCACAACAGAACTGAACTAATAAGAGAGTGTAGTGAGAGAGAGGTGAAGGAAGAAAAGAAAGAACTGAGGTTCCAGGGCATTCAGCCACTCTGCCCTTACCTTCTGTGCAATCAGAGAGGCACCGTCCTTACAGACTTAAAAAAAAAAGCTAAAGACCCACCTCTTCCATTAGGCATTCAGTCTGCTCTTCAGAAACTACTAACTTTTATGTCTTTATGTTTGTATACTTGTGCTTTGAGTCTCACAGGGAGAAAAGCGCTATAAAAAATAGCAAATTATTAGTATTATTATTATAGAGAAGAAGGGGAGCATCCACCCTAGGACGCAGAGGTGGCTAACTGTGGTAGCCCTAATGATCCCTAGGGGCTTGTCGGTTGTGTGTGAGTGCTGGGATATAAGGGAAAGGGTCAGACCACATACATCTTTACATCCTACCGTGTGTCATCTGGTTTTGATTTTTGAAGTTTGTTCTTGCGTCTCTACATGCTCAGCTCTTTTTTTTCTCTTATCCCGAATTCACATGGTCCCTGCGTGTGAGCCCATCCATGCTTCCCATGTATCTCATGCAGTTTTCTTATCATGAGGTCTGTTGGAACTCATATGGGCCATCTTTTTACATTGGCCATTTATGGATACTTGTTGCATCACCAGCTCCTCTGCTGGGAGTCTTGGAGGATTTCCATCCTATCGCTATCAACAGGTTTGCAGCTGCCAGTATGTGAAAAGTTAAGATCCCTTGTTTCCCCGTGAGATCGCACAGGAACATGAATAAGAGAAAGGGGTTTATTTCAAATTTAAGGCCACAGAAGCTGAATTTAAAGCATACCTGACTTAGAACATTTTTCCAGTTTGGCTATTTTGGACCTAAATGTAAATTCACTTTTGTAAATCAACTCTACAATTTTCTCTGTATCATTCCATTGATACATCTCACAGAAACGAATGGAATGGAATTGTGAAACAATGCACAGAGCTCATTATACAAGGCAATAATAGGAAACCATCACTTTTCTAGAAATTACACCATTAAATAAAACATTTAAAATCTCACAACAATTGTGCGAATTTTCATTTATTTATTTATTTATTTTCAGCCGATGACAACAGATCATTGCCTGGAAATAAATAAATTAAAACTCGCACAAGTGTTGTGAGATTTTAAATGTTTTATTTAATGGTGTAATTTCTATAGAAGTGATGATTTCCCTAACTGTAAATGTACATTACAGATTTAGTAGTTGACTTTATGAACCGATACTGGCACAGTCAAATTTGTACTCCTCCATAATTATGTCCCACTAAATGAGAATACTGTCTGAGTGAATAGTCTGTGCATAATCTGCTTCACCTTATTTGATAAGAAAAAAAAAGGTGAATATCAATCATTGGAACACACTGCACAAATAGTAACATAAATGGAAAAATTATAGAAAATTCACCAAAGCAATAAAACTGTGGAAATGATTTTCAGAACAGATAATTCACTCCAGAACAAAAATTGGACTGAATTTTGGGAGATTTTTGGGTCATCTGAATTCCGTAAGTCCATAGAACCATGACAGGGTATCACGAAACAAACAACATGGTCAACCGATAAACAGTTTTGTTTGTTTTGCGATTCGAAGTTCTGTCCTTGGTACAAAAAAATAATAAAAAAAAAAGATGAAAAGAGGATTGATAGTTAAGGAACTAAATGTGGTTTTATTCACACAACTGAGAGAGAAAAAAAATGAGCTAAAAATATATAAATATATAAAAAAAATGTATATTCTTTTTATTGGTTAAATCTTCTCACTTGATCCGTGAACCAAACAGCTGAATAATGTGCCTAGGCAGTGCATTGTAATAATATAGATAATATACATGTATATATTTTACTGATTGGACCATTTTTTTTCTGAAATAATTTCATGAGCAAAACTTGTCTGAGACAAATGCCACCTGGATGAAATTCGGTCCACCTGAACAAAGCTTGTTTCTGACGAATTAACGTGACCACACTGCCTTTTTCCATTGTGCAACACTATACAATGTTCAAAGACAGAAAAGGTCAGACCGTATCACAATAACTGACCGAGAGTCAAGATGGAGGCATCCAGTAACAAGATAGAGCCAAATCCATGAGTCTTAAAGGGACACTATAGGCACCCAGACCACTTCAGCTCATTGAAGTTGTCTGGGTGCGGTGCCCCTGTCAGTTTAATCCAGCAGTTGTAATTATTGCAGTTAGTGATAAACTGCAATAATTACATTGTAGGGTTAACTCCACTTCTGCCAGATAGTCACTAGAGGTGCTTCCGGGCTTTTAGGCGACTTGACGCGGGAAGTCCTCGCGCTCTGCATGAGGACATCCAGCATCAGCTAAAACCCCATAGCAAAGCAATGGATTAAATTCTTTCTGATGGGGTAGTCCTAATGCCAATGAGGTGCTTGCCGCGCATGCGCATTAGGTTCCCAATGTCAGCTGGCATCGGGAAATGAAGAGCGGAGGTGGAGTCTGACTCGGCACCGAGGTACATCAGCGCTGATTTCAGCAGGTAAATGACAGAAGAGTTTTTAACCCTTTCTGCGCTGTGTGGGGGGCAGGCGAGTGTATTCCTTAAACTATAATTTCCCTTTAATTTCTGCATTGAATTTTATTTTTTCAGACTTCACTAACCGGCAATCATAAGTACATATTTATTCAAAGTAAAGGTTATATTACAATCTTGGGAAGTGACAGTACGCCTTTTAAAATGTGGTGAAGGTGGATAACATATAATCCCTCTAAAAAACATGAATTATGTTAGAATTTTACTAAAACAGTAGATACGATGCAGATCTCGTGATGGTTTAATCCAGCATAAAATAAAGTCCTGTGCAACGTATAGATTGAAAATGACCCTTTTGAGTTCAGTTTTCAATAAAACCTCCTCAGGTACCGTGTATATTCTCACATTGCACTCCAGAATTTTGTAAAATGAATAATCTTTAAAATGTATAATTAAAAATGTGCGGTGTAGCACAGATACTTCGCGCTTTCACATAATCAAAATTCTATGTGTAAAAATGTTATAAAACGTGATAACCATCATCACCTTATTACCAGTGGTGCAGATGCAGATTAGATTTTAAGCTCGTTAGAGTCATCGTATTAATGCAATTGCTAATTGATTTATCATTTCCCCTTGGTGCTACTTTTTTTTTTCTTATTCTTTAGATGTATTTAGTTGGTTTTACTTGTGGTTTAAAGGGGAAATGCCACTTGAAAAATAAATGTTTCAGGGAACTTTGAGACACAGTTTATTATTTAAGTGAGTGTGAGTAGTCTAGTGCTTTTGATGTAACATGTCAGATAACCTCAATGTGACTTAGATGCCACAAGCACTAAGCTCTGTGGCTTATATGCATGGTGGCAATGTTAGGATTAATTTGAGAATTTGAGTTTCCGGGTAGACTTATCCAGGTAGGTGGCCAGAACTAGTGACACAGTTCCTGGGAGGACAGGAACTGGACTAGGATGGGTTGCAGGCTGCGAGCTGCAATCGCGTAGGAAACTGGGGAGTAATATATAACGCAGTCATGCAAGTTAAATCGTGTCAGCCTGTCACTGAAACTAGGAATGGCCCGGACAGACCTCTTTCCTTAATTTTTAATTATTTGTATACGTGGTGGTTATGGAAGCAATGGGTTGAAAAAAGTAATCTTAAGGGTCAAGTTCTGAAGGAAGATATGGTGTTAAATAGTTTTAAAAAAGTTTTAAAAAGTGGTCAGGCCATCTAAGACTAACCGACAATCGGGTGATGTCTAATAAAATTAAGTTACATAAAGGGTTAAAATTCCTAAAAACATTTGAGATTTATGGCTGTATGCCCCTTAAGCTTTACATAAACACCATGGCCTAAACCAGGATAGGTAACCTTTGGCACTCCAAATGTTATGGACTACATCCTCCATAATGCTCTTATACCCATAATGCTGGCAAGCATCATGGGAGGTGTAGTCCAACATCTGGAGTGCCGAAGGTTGACTATGCCTTGCCTAGACCATTTACACACTGACAATTTGTTTCTGTTTATATTGTCTGGTCTATTTAATTCAATAAGATCACTATATATTTTAGTTTATAGCGAGACTGTAAAATGATCCTAAAATTACTATTTTTGTGTGGGTGTGTGTGCATGTGTGTGTGTGAGACACTGGGAATGGACATTTTCCCTTCTAACCCTTTCGCTAGACCCTATACTAAAGTTCTAGATATCAATGTGAAGCGCATGCACATCTAATTATTTGAACATACTTTACTTGGTCATTGGGAAAAGCAGGACACGAGGGAACAAACCTGGAATGGCAGGGAAGGATGCCAAAATTGGGACTCTCCTACTGAATCTGAGACTGTTGGGAGGCAAGAACATCTTGCAGTGGAAAATGAAATAGACATGTCAGACTAATAACACAGAAATATTGTGATGTCATCGCTAAAATGAGCCATAGTGATTATTATTTTACTTTTCCTTTTTTGTAAGTTTGCAGTAAGCAGAGGCAAGGCCTGTGCTCAATGTTTTAGCATCTGAAGTTTCATTCACGCAGAACCTCATATTATTTGTAAAATGTTCAAATTAACTTAATATTTTCTCTTTCTCTTGCTGCCAAAGCGACACTGAATGTTGTGACATAAAAGGACGGTCAAATCACAGCTAAACGCAGCTGCAAGACAGGGCATTATTTTTTATGTAAAATATCTCTCTCTATATATAAATATATATATATATATACACACACACACACACAGTCTCCTTCGCGATGCCTTTTTTTCTTTACTGAGCAAAAATGCTTAGAGACAAGAAAATTAGTCACATACACTAAATAAATGTGGCAGTGCGGCTCCAAATACGTATGGCTTAAAGACTAAATAGCACAAGGGAAAAAAAAAATAATACCATAAAGTATTAACGCATGACAGGGGATGGGCTGCCATCTGTTATTAAAGACTACGTTATATATTAAATGTGACAGAGGGAAATCAAATATGATAGGCCGTTACGGAATGTGGAAGTTACCGAATGAATTCCTAATTCTCATTTAACTCTCGCTTCTGGATAAGGTAGAGCAGAGGACATTAATAAAATGGATAAAACACTTATTTCGGACTGTATCTCATGGGGTAGAATTATTGGTTACAGAAAAACCTGTGTCCAATTATGATCCTTAGTAACAAAATGAGTAATGCCACCAAGATAAGCTTAGAATGGAGCCTCCATATGTGGTACCACTTGTCAAGAATTATCAAGTTTTATCACAGATTATCCTGTGCAGCAACAGTACTGTGTTACAGATGGAGTCATTGAAACTGGATGGGCACCTATTTCCAAGGAGGCTCAAAACTAGTTCCTCTCTTTCTCCACCTCGCATGCTGTGGGATGGAGATTATGTCTCAACACTTAATTTTGACCTCTATGTTGTAGGACAGAGGATAACTACTAATGATTGCTCACTAAACTTAAGGATGCCAAGTCTCCAACCAAAACTAATAGGGGAATTGGGGTGTTAGTTCCCTGGTTCCACTGGTTTCAAAATGAAAATGATTCTTACCCACTGGGTTGTCAAGACTTTCCGAGCCTCTGGCTGCCTACCCCATAATTAACAATCTGTCATCCCTACCAGCCCCCGCCACCATTTTTACTGAATTCTTCATTTTTTACACAAAAATACTGGTAAGAAAAAAAACCTTATAAGTGCAACACAACTAATATCTCATAGACCTTTCACAATGCTTTATTACTATTATTTTAAAAGAATGGAATTTTGAAACCTGAATTTTTTTACTTTAGAAAAACAGCATCGAAAATGGGTTATTATAACATTTTACAGATTACTGTATTATTTTTTTTAAATTGGTATTTATATGGCGCCAGCTTATTCCACAGCGCTTTACATTAAAAGGGGAATTAGATCTATTAAGTGCCAGTACAAACATCTGTCTGGCAACCCGTTGATCAAAATAACTATATAAAAAACAAGAGGCCTCACATTTAGTCTTGTAAAAAAAAGATTTCACATACAGGAGTGGAAAGAATTATTTACAGTAAGAGTAATGAAGATGTGGAATATGCTGCCTTAAGAGGTTGTTTTATCAGGTAGAGATTTCTAAAATCCAGATACTTTTTGATAAAACAGGATATTCAAGGGTATATTCACTAAATTGTTAGCAAGAAGGTATCAGAGTGCCATTTTGAAGTCAAATATTTTTTATCCTATTTTATGGTAGAATTGGAAATCACTTAAAATTGCTTTTTTGTATTTCTTTAAAGGAATGACATAAAGAGAGTTGTGTGAAAGTCTGTTACTACTTATGCTTGTAAGTGTCTCATTTCATTGCTGCAGCTGTGAGCAGTGTTTTGCAGTTCTCAACAACAACCCTAAAAGGGTTACGTTAGTGTTAACAAAGTTAGCACTGTTTAGAAAGTTTTTGGAATATTTGAGTCCAAATAGTTTTTTTTGTTTGTTGTTTTTCTCCTACGGCTCCTACGTAAAGAAATTTCAGCTGTCCCTGACTCAGTTTGCTGCACTTTAAAATCATTCTAAATTTCATAAAAGCAAGAGAAATATTGATGACAATGAATAAATTGAAACAGTTGCAAACCGAGACAAAGGATGATAATTGCCAGACTATTATTATTCCCTGCAGTGTAATTGGACCATGATCCGATGACGATCTCTTTTCAGAGAGAGGTCTGTCTCTCCTTAGTCTAGCTTTAAAAGTTTCTGATGGGAAATTGCTTTCTACAGACGTGCTCCCGGAGCCAGAGATAGGATACAATAAAATCTAAAATGATATTTTCCATATTGATTGTACTTTCATAAAGGAGACAATTACACGGCTGTTTGCAAAACACAGGGACATCATCTTAAACATTTCTCTCATCCTTCAACCTGCCTTTTTTTCGGCTATAGCGCAGAAACGATCTGGCTTACAGAGACACAGATGAATTTACAATTTATTGAATCTTTTCTTCTGCGCTCCTTATAAAAAAGTCAAATAGGATGTATTAGTACCCCAGGTCACTTCCTTAAATAAATGTCTTTGAATTTTTTTCTCGTGTTCTTCAGCTAAATTAAATCTTTCTCTTTTTTTAATGATGGCAAAGATTTAAAATTCCAATTTGGTAACATTATAACACACTTTTTATGGCAATAAAATGGCAATTTATCTAGAGAACGGTTTGGCAGGCAGTTAATGAATGGTAGGGTCCCATGTTATAATTCTTCACAAAATTGAGTAACAGATTTTAATGTCCCGTCCAGAGTCATTACAGAGTGTAAGTGTAATATTTACTGTCATTAATGCAGGTCTATTTATTGCTAATTACATTAGCACCGTGCCAGTGTGCCCTTTTTAATTTCACTGAGATTCCTAAAGTATGCAGGGATAATTGATTTTGTTGTAAACTAGTGTAATAAAATACATTTCTTTTTAATATCATAAAGAGAAAAAAAAATCTCGTTGTTTAATAACGATGAGTCGAGGTCTTAAGTTTCTCTTTCATATGAATAATATTGTAATAAGGGATAGCAGAATTTGGGCTTTTGCTCCAAACGTGTTGAAATGTATTGCTTGGTGAGGTCAGATAATATGGATATACTGAATATTTAAATATAGTTAAAAGCAAGATTTATACAGATTCTTCTATATACCCAGCTCTTCTTAGGGGTACACATTGCATTAAAGTTGTTTGTAACTTTGAAGATCACACCTAATGAGACTTGTGCAAAAATTAGTTTTGGGTTGTTCGCCCAAATTAAATCCCTTTCGATCCACACTCAAACTACTTGGTTTGTTCAAATAATTCATATGAAGTCTTCGTTGAATGAATAAGACTCGACAGGTAAATCCCGGACAGATCGATTAGATTGGACGTAGATTAAAAGGAGTTTGAGTCAGAGGGATCGGCCTAAACAATTTTTGCGCAATTCTACCGCTGACCACTAGGAAGGTCAGGCACCTTGCATTTTGGACCTTGCCAGAAAGTAATTTGTTTAAAGACATCTTCTATTGCTAGTGTTAAATGAACATAATTAATGGTGACTGGGTGTTAGGGTCAATATTTGTAAATATTGCGGTGGCATACATTTACAGGGAAGAGGATGGCTTAACTTTTTGATTTTTGGCAGCAAACCATAACAGGTTCTGCCAACTCGCTTAGTTCCTGCTATGTTGCTATGTGATTTGGTGATGTTGTCGTATTCTCTCGTTTGTTTTCACAGCGGTGGGTAAGTCCATGCCAGTAAAGGAATAGAAAGAAAATCCACTTGATGAGTGGGCACTGGGGAGATATGTCCAGTCCAAGTGAAAAAAGAAAACCGAAGACTGAGCTTTTGGTTACATACTGGGGAAACTGCTTGCGATCTGAAAGGACCGGCTGCTCCAGAGAGTTGAAATATGCTAGCACAATAATTGAATAAGAAAGTTGTGACCTATGACAATATATAAAGTAATCTGTCATTTATTGGGGTCATTTTAGTGAGAATTTTAAACTAGAGATATGACACGTAATAATATATGTGGCCAACATGTAAAGTGGAATAGTTTTTTTTATATGTTGTAGCATTTGCAAGTACAAACTACGTTTAGCATCATCCCACATCCTATGTCACGACCCCTTGCCTTAGTCCATCGCGCCCACGTGGTGAAGGATCCAGGGCAGGCTCCTCTTCCGGCGAGTTCAGCATGTCCCACGCCGGACGCTGGAGTCACGCCCCTTTTTATGATGTAGCGCATACACGCCTATGTAATGACATCATTAAAGCATTCCCGCGTCATTAATACCGGCCCAGATCATTTTGGGGGCATGGCTTTAAAGCAAAAGACACTCCCTTATAAAAAGGACTCTCCTTGTCCTGTTGTGGTTCCTTGTGTTCCCCTTAGTGCTCTTTGATTCTCCTTGTGTATTTACTGTTGTTTCTGTGTTCTGACCTGGCTTGGCTTTTGACGTTCCTGTTTTCTGGTTCCCTGACTCGGCTTGTATTTTGACCTTCTGATTTCTGGTATCCTGACCCAGCTATTCTGGAATCGTTCTCCTGATCACTGGTATTCTGATTTTTGGCTATCCTCTGACTACTCTTTTCTTCCTACGTTAAATCCGACCATTCTAAGGTTCGGTAATATGTGCTTGGGTTTTCTGTGGGTTTACATACTGCGTGTTGGGTTAATAACATTACCGTGATATCCTAGGTTTTAGGTGTACGAGCAGAGCGTTCCTTTACTTTCACATCAGTTGTGTAATTATGCATTGTAACGTCTCCAGTCTCCACCTTTTGTCAATGCACACATACAGTATTAAGGTAAGATGTTGTGGAAAATGTTGGAGCTTTCTAAATAAATGCAAGAATGCTAACAATGATATTAACAAAGCAACTCGTCTTAGCCTGATTCTGCACGAGAGGAAAGCTGAAACGTAAACAGCCTTAGAGTCCTCTCTTTGGGGGTTTATATATGTATGTATATATATATATATTGCTGCACACTATTCCTGATGGTCTGCATGCAAGTCACTATCAGGGCTTTTCACTAGAGTGATTATCGTCAGCAATTCAGAGTTGATTTCAAATTTAAGGCCAAGATAGGCAAACTGGGGAAGAATCTCCAAGTCAAGTCAACAATGCTACTTTAGTCTTAAATTTAAAATTCACCCAAAAAATTTTTTGGTGTCAAAGTCCCTATTTTAGGATCCCATCCTGCCATCCCAATTTAGTTCTTTGGTGTCCCAAATTCTGGGAAATTCTGGGACACTGGGGAACTGTCCCAGGCAGCACCACACAAACATCATTAGACAGGCTTAAACCGTGTGGCGGGCTGTAGTACCATACAGCTAGTACATCGGCATTACTCTCTCCATGTCCTGTATGTCAGGGGCCAGCCAGGAGGCTGTCTGTCAGCCTGGCATGCTTGCCAGGCTGCCATACCCCTACAGTGGGAGTCCACCTACTTCCCATTATAGCCATCACCATTGAAGCAAGTTGCATCACTGGCGATGCCCCCTAAAGGCAGCCCACCCATTTCGATTCCATACCTCCCAATGTTAGGAGGTATGCTTTAGTGAAGAAAACCCAGTATGATTTATAAAGAAAACATGGTCTGACTAATTCGCATCAGTTGTCAAAAATGCTAAAGCTTGACCATACCCCCTTGGCAATTAGAAAATGGGAACAAGAGCTACATTGCATCATTCCGCAAACAGAATGGAATCATTCATTGACACTAACATACAGGACGATCAACTGTTTGAACCTTTATGAATCACATTTTAAGTTAATAAATAGGTGGCACTCAGTACCTGTTAGCATTGCCAGAATGTACCCAAATAGCACAGATTGATGCTGGAGATGTAACACAATGAGGTGGAACCAGATGCATATACGGTGGGGTTGTCCTCTTTTAAGATCAATTTGGCATATGGTGGAGAAATTCTTCTCAAAATGTCTTGGCTGGAATTTTCATTCCACCCCAATTAGATCTCTTCTCCATATGGCCTTAGATGGCTTGAATCATCTACAGACAAGAGTATTCTTACATGTGAAGAAGGCCTGTTAAACTGCATAGAGCCAAGATTTGGAAATCTCCCAATACAGTTAACTGGACAACGGTAAAAGCACAATTTATTTTCCAAGAGACATTGGGCAATATTCAAACCAAGACGACCCAATAACAGCTTATTCTTTTTGGAAAAAAAGTTCTCGAAGAGTACATGCTATAAGTTTTAATAATTGATGAAAAAGCAACCAAATTAATTAAAAAAAACAAAGAACCTAAACGCCAAGGTTCTAAACTCTAATTAGAAAAACATATGCATTTATTCCACTATTGATACACCAATACGAAGAGAAAGCTGATTGAAAAACCTCCCCTAACATCAAGTCCTATGTTTTGTATTGTAACTAACTGTACTGTATTGTCCAAACTGCTGTATGTTTTTTGCATAATAATGGTTTAAATAGCTTATTAGTAGCCTTGAGCTTAATGATCAACACACAATATCTGTTGCATCTGCTCTTATGTACACTATTATTCCTACATATATTACAGTTACATCTTTTTTTCACATTTTTCTTTTAAATATGCAACCATAAACTATTCATTACTAATTAATCTGCTATTAGTCTAGAAATTATTAGCAACTTTGCTCTGTTCCAGATGAAATTAGATTCTTTTTTGCTGAACTGCTGGGTGCACTTTGGAATAGAGGGGTGTAAGAGTGGCTTCTCTGTTACAAAGTGAGAAAGATGAAAATAGACAAGACAATTAGAGCAGAGTTGCTGTCATTAAGATGTTAGTGTTGTTATTATAATTACTATATGGCACACAGGCTGTGGAGACACTGTTTATACATTAGAAACATTCATGGTGTTTCAAATTTCGCAATGAAAAAAAGTTGTGCAGATTTGTTTTTAATTTTAAGAACACCATCCTTTTAGTAAAATAAGAAAAGTTATTTGATATACTGTTCATAAATGTAGTAAAAAAAATAAAAATAAAATAAAAATTCTAATTTTTAAATTGATATAGACACCTTTCAATTGGTGGCAGTTTTTCTTTAATTACCCCAGTAAATACTATTACAATTGTTTATAAGTATCAGTTTTGGTGTATATATCATGCCTCTGCAGTCTCATTTCTCAATTATCTGCCATTCATGAGTTAAACCACTTTTGTTTCCGTTTATGCAGCCCTAGCCACACCCCCTCCGGCTGTGACTCACACAGCCTGCATGACAAAATGGTTTCATTTTTAAATCAAGTCTTTTACTTTAGAAATTTTTATCTTCTGCTCAGTTAATTGAACTTTAATCACATACAGGAGGCTCCTGCAGGCTCTAGCATGCTATTAACAGAGTTGGATATTAGAATTCATAAATTAAAAACCACTGTGCAATAAGAGAAGCTAAACAATTTAGACACTTTTTCAGGAATGTGTGGGGAGGCTGTGTAATTCACAGCTAGGGGAAATGTAGCTAGGGCTGTATACATTTTTTAACACCTAACTGGCAGAGAATTTAGCAGTGATACTGCAGGGGCATGATCTATACACCAAAACTTTGTTAAAGGAACACTATAGTGTTAGGAATGCAAAACTGTATGTAGTTCTGTCTGCCCACCAACCATCTGCAAATAAAGGGTTAAAAACCCTGTTTTCATTTAACTCAGGCTCCTCCACTGACATCAGAGCGATTCAACGCGTGAAGACGACCAGCGTGTAGAACTCCATGAATCCCCAGCAACACATCAACTAGAGGTAGTCTAAACACTTCAATGTATCTCTAAAACTGCAATGTTTTACATTGTGGGGTTAATAGAAAAGGAATAGTGCATAACGTGGTCCTGGTGCCTATAGTGTCCCTTTAAGCTGAAGTTGTTTTGGTGCTTAGAGTGTCCCTTTAACAAGTCTGAGTCTGCCTATGTGCATAAGCACAACCTGAATGCTTCAATTAATACTGATTTTAAGTCAATAATACATTTTAACTTTAGTGTCATTACTGGCTGAATTGTTGAATGCATGCAAAACTGGCAATGCTATATGCTCGTGATAGAGCCACTATCTGTAATCATGTTGCCTTAACCAGTCATTAAAGTGGCTCTTTCACTTTCAGGATTTTTTCCTATTGTGTTAATCAATCATTAAAATTGATCTGTCATCTTCGGGGTTCATGCATGGTGTGAAAAGTCCCCATAAAGTGACATCCCGACTTGGTATGAGGTGACCTGGGGATGATGATAATTACCTGAAGCTTTATCTCATGCATGTGCCATCTTCTTTTTCCACTCCTTGCGCAAGAGTACATCATGGATCTGTATGGAGGATCCTGCAAGGTCCTTTGTAGACCAAATCCGACAATGTGCGATATCTCGTTTCCCACGGCTGTCTCTAGCAACAGCTGTGGGAATTGACAGCGCTTGGTGGTGGAAGCTCTCGTTCAGCCTTAAACATAAAATAAAGTAGTCTCTAATTTGTCTTATGATATCTTTTGATTGGGTTGGATTCGCAATGAAAATTCCAAACCACTCAGTACAAGAATTTTATAAAGGCTTTATCGTTGTGAAATACGCAGAAATTATGTTGTGGTGAAAGAGACACTTTAAAAACATTATAAAGATATAAAAAGACTGAAAGCATGCAGCTAATTAGGAAGAAGATGGAACAGAAACTATTTCAGATTTTGTAATTAGGCCCACCATAATTTTCAGCTCCTGGTCCATGAAGTCCTTAATCCGGCACTGCTATTGCCAATTTAATATACGACTTAGACGAAAGCTGAAAAGTACAGTGAACTAAATAGTAATCTATGGAATCCCTTGAATGATATTTTATTATATTTTTACGAAAATTTCCATTTAACTTTTAAATACGTACATTAATCTGCCATTAAAAGAAAGCCATAACGTACGTTGTAACGGATCACCTGGCACCCCGACTGGGTACCTCCGTTGAAGGATGCTCCTAGCGCTTCCTGAGGACTCCAAGCACTGCAGCAGACACCACAACCACCGAATTGTAGGAGCATGTGAATGCTGTAGACAGTTTAATAGGAACCATACGAATAGGTTTACTCTCCTAGCAGTCAAACTGGAACAGCATACAATAAATCCTTCCCCCAATAATGAGACGACACTTCACTTTGAGGGTTAAAACAGGAACTTCCTGTACTGTCACATACAGTCTCTTTTATTCCCAATCCACAAACATAGTACAGCCCACAGGGCGTTACAAAACAACCAATCAATCCGTACAATATACCCAGACACTCCCACACAAACTCCTCCCCTCTGCCTGTGATATGATTACTGAACACAATGGGTAATCTCATTATCACCGGCAGAGGAATACAGTTTTTACACAATATTTATAACTTCTAAAATATACATGTCACAAACATAAAACATACATTTTCATAATCAATCCATTCAGGGGAACAACATATTAAAAAATGGCACGAATCAGACCAGGGGTTCAAAAGTTAAGGGAAAGTCCTTTGTGACTAAATGAAGCATGGCTTTCCAGCCCAAACCAGTTTCAGAGTCTTCTATCCTGGAGATTGAATTGAGAAGTAATTCAATTATCTCCCAGGACAGACACAAGACTCCATTATGCACATGGTGAGCACAAAGCATTAAAATATTATAAAATACACAAAGTCACATTTTATACATAAAACACAGATATGTCACATATCCCCAGATAGCTGGGATCTGAGCGCACAAAACTACCGAATAGCGCTCAGATCCTATTCACACAGTTCAATTGCCATGGAGCCAAAGTTTTTAACTACACGAATGGGCTCCATGGCATAGCTATCTGGGTTAATACATTCACATAAAGTCTGGTCCATAGTCCAAAGGCAAGAGGCGGGCAAGCAGCCCCCTCCAAGGACACGTGGCGAGGCCGGTTTCGCCACATTTCTCCCCTTTACCATCCAGACTAACAGGGTATCTGACCTCCTGCCGGTCAGTGCCCTGGTTAGTCCAGCAACCCACCCACGAAGCACAAACAGCAATACAGCCCACCCACAATAACTGGTTACTACACCTGGATAAAATAGCAACTTGTCCATGTCCAGGTGCCTCACCACGGCTGTGCGGGGGGCTGGTAGACTGCCTTGGTGGGTTGCTGAGTGGGCAGAGACCAGCGGTACTCTGCCTGGGTGCCAGCGCTACCACTGAAGTAGCCTGGTTGGAGCCTGGTTGTGGGAGGGGGAGACCGACTGTCTCCCCTCTGGATACACTGCTCTGTGGCTGGGGGACAGGACCGACCGTCCCTACCCCTGGTGCTGCAAGTGCAGAGACTACGGTCCCATCTGCATAGTTGTGGGGCTTAACATCTCCCCTTGGTGGGTTAGGCTGCCGCTGGAGAGAGGGTGTAACAAGCTCCTCTCTCTGAACTGTAGACTGCCGCTGGGGAGAGGGGGTAACCTGCTCCTCTCCCTGACACTCTCTTTGCTGGTGGAGAGGGGGACCAACTGTCTCCCCTTTCAATATTTTGTCCTGCGGCTGGGGTGCGAGACAGACGGTCTCTGCTTCCTGGGGTACACACTGCCGCTGGGGAGGAAGGACGTGCACCTTCTGCTCCCTGGGGTACACACTGCCGCTGGGGAGGAAGGACAGCACCTTTGGCTCCCTGGGATACACACTGCCGCTGGGGAGGAAGGACGGCACCTTCTGCTCCCTGGGATACACACTGCCGCTGGGGAGGGAGGACGGCACCTTCTGCTCCCTGGGGTACACACTGCCGCTGGGGAGGAAGGACGACATCTTCAGCTCCCTGGGATACATACTGCCGCTGCGGATCTGGGCCGACTGCCCAGCATCCCTGTAGGGCCGGTAGAGAGACAGCCGTCCCATCTCTACCTGCCATCGGTGGGTCTTCCCAGGACCAGTCTATGAGGTCCCCTACTTCTGCAACTGGTAGTGAAGCAGTGGGGACCTCGGCTGCGTTTTCCCAGCTGTAGGTTGGCAGGTCTGGGTCCACCACCCAGTTCTGCGTCTATGCTCTGCGGCTGACATGAGTTCAGTAGTTCCACATAGTCCATCTCTAGCTCTCGTTCCATGGCAGCGAAACGGCGGATGTCTTCTCCCAGTCCAATAGATCTCGGGCCCTGTAACATCTCACTTCGGTAATGAAAGATAGCCCAGTACCGTGACTCTGCTGGACTGCCAAAGTCGACGTCTTCTGTTAAGGCCTTCCACAACAGGCCAGGGCTAGTGTAGTTCTCCCCCTCCGGCTGGATGCCCTCTGCCCTCCACGTCTCTGGCTGGATAGTGCACCACCACAGTGCCCGGTATGAGGCGTCAAGGCTCAGTTCCCGTTCCACGAGGTACTCAAGTTGTCTGACCTGCTGCCCTCCGGGTTGTTCTCCCAGAAGCGGCATCCGCCAAGCCATTTGTTCCTCCAACTGGTATGCGACACCAGGAAGGCGCTGCTGCCATTGATACTGGACTTCCTCCAGGGTATCGTACCATAATTCTTTCCGAGCGATATCTCTCCAGTCTAATTCACTCTCTTCCTCAGGTGTGTGTGTTGCCCAGGGGTCCACGAACCCCATTTTCCCAAATCTTTATGTAGACAGGGACGCTGTATGAACACTAGCGTCGCCTTCAATTTGTAAATCCATGAACTGTGTCTCTGAGCTGCTTTACCTCGCACTAGGACGCCATCCCACCGCTTGCCACCAATGTAACGGATCACCTGGCACCCCGACTGGGTACCTCCGTTGAAGGATGCTCCTAGTGCTTCCTGAGGACTCCAAGCACTGCAGCAGACACCACAACCACCGAATTGTAGGAGCATGTGAATGCTGTAGACAGTTTAATAGGAACCATACGAATAGGTTTACTCTCCTAGCAGTCAAACTGGAACAGCATACAATAAATCCTTCCCCCAATAATGAGACGACACTTCACTTTGAGGGTTAAAACAGGAACTTCCTGTACTGTCACATACAGTCTCTTTTATTCCCAATCCACAAACATAGTACAGCCCACAGGGCGTTACAAAACAACCAATCAATCCGTACAATACACTCAGACACTCCCACACAAAATCCTCCCCTCTGCATGTGATATGATTACTGAACACAATGGGTAATCTCATTATCACCGGCAGAGGAATACAGTTTTCACACAATATTTATAACTTCTAAAATATACATGTCACAAACATAAAACATACATTTTCATAATCAATCCATTCAGGGGAACAACCTATTAAAAAATGGCACGAATCAGACCAGGGGTTCAAAAGTTAAGGGAAAGTCCTTTGTGACTAAATGAAGCATGGCTTTCCGGCCCAAACCAGTTTCAGAGTCTTCTATCCTGGAGATTGAATTGAGAAGTAATTCAATTATCTCCCAGGACAGACACAAGACTCCATTATGCACATGGTGAGCACAAAGCATTAAAATATTATAAAATACACAAAGTCACATTTTATACATAAAACACAGATATGTCACATATCCCGAGATAGCTGGGATCTGAGCGCACAAAACTACCGAATAGCGCTCAGATCCTATTCACACAGTTCAATTGCCATGGAGCCAAAGTTTTTAACTACACGAATGGGCTCCATGGCATAGCTATCTGGGTTAATACATTCACATAAAGTCTGGTCCATAGTCCAAAGGCAAGAGGCGGGCAAGCAGCCCCCTCCAAGGACACGTGGCGAGGCCGGTTTCGCCACATACGTCTAATACAAAGTGGTAAAAAAAAAATATGGAAAAGGCAGCAGAACAAACCTCGTTCAGAGTAAATATTAAGGAGCAATGCTTCCTTGTATTGCATGATATCTGTGTGACCGATTTCTCCCAATCGGCGTTCCCATACAAGAATGACATCTTGTAAAATTGTTATGTGATATACTGATTATGATGTGAAGGCAATTTTGGAATTCTGTGTATCTTGATTTACATTGGTGTTTAGCTAGCACACACAATTATGCATTCTGTATTTGCATGGGTAGTCGCATTTAAAGAATGCAGAATTATTTAGTTGCTAATTCATGCCCATGGGGAACAATGCCTAGATTATTTAAATGTACTTATGTCTTTCAACTAAGCCTTTATAATTAGTTCAGCATTATGAATACATGTGTAAAAATGACAATCAACCATTGTCTAATTATAGAATGAACTGTAAGTGATTTAAAACCCTTCACAATAACCCTTGTCATTTTTTTGTTCTGCGGATAAATATTTCTCGAATTGATTCAAGGATTTATTTACATGCTGGGTGACTGCATGTGTCCAATGGTGAAATAAAGTGGTTTGGGTTTACTCAGAGATGTAGTCAATAACTTAAGGCTGATCATGGAGGGGTAAAGGTTTACTTTATATTATGTTCTATAAATTCTGATAACGTAGTATGTGTTTTACGTTCATGCAAACTTTACATCAAACGCGTTGTATGATATGCTCTGACCTGCTACAAGTTGTTACAAATTGAGGATTTCTCTGTAAAGGTTAATATCATTTAGTAGTCCCCATTACTGTAAAATGTTAGGAGTAAGGCCAGTCAACAGGTAGCCCCCTCCAGCATCTACAAAATGGCAACTCCCATAATGCTTTGCAAGCTTAAAGATAAGCAAAGTATTGTTAAGTTGCAGCTCTATAACTGCTGAGCGGGCTACTTGTTGGCCATGCCATTTCTAGGGTCTATTGAGGTTCTACTAATTGTTTAACTTATAAGCAATTTTGTCTCACTTTGAAATATGAACTTTACTCCAATTGTATCAGTTTGGGGAGAGACTAGTGATGAGAGATTCCGCATGACATTAATATATACCATGACATTTAGAACTATGGATGTTTCAACAACACTTGAATCCGGAAGGTGCAGTAAACAACTTTTTCCAATCACCATCCACATGTCTTGCAGAGGCTGTTAAAGACAGGGATGAAAAGAGACAAACTCGGAAACAAATACAAAATACAGGACCGATTGCTTTCTCAATGCTGATTGCCAGGAGCAAAGGACAGCGCTTACTTTTTATTTTTACATTTATTTTCTTTTTTTTGCGAGTATGTCATTGTATACATAGAAATACAAAGACTTGCGTAGAAGATAAGAGCACACGTATAGCTGATAAATGAATACATGTACAGCCATATTTTAAATATATAGTAAATGGAATGAGAATATGAGTACACTCAAAGACAGATAGGCATACACTAGGCACAGGTCAAAAGAATAGTGAAGCACAACAACACAAATAAACATTTTTTTCACATAATCAGCAGAGGTAAGGCTGAAAATAAAACTCTCCATAACCCTGGAGGGTAGGAGGTTATTAGTGAAGTCAGAAGCGTAACTAGAAATCATGGATTCCTGGTGCTCCCTCCAAAATCCCTCCATGTGTCTCATGCCTGATCCTCCAACCTAGTCCATGCGTCTCATTCCCGCCCCCATTCCCTCCATACGTCCCATTCCCTCCCCCCTTTGCAACTCCATGTGTCTTGTTCCCTCCCCCCAGTCCTTATTCCTCAGCCCCAGCATGTGTCTCATTCCCTCTCCCCTCAGTCCCTACAAGTATCTCATTCCCTCTCCCCTCAGTCCCTACAAGTATCTCATTCCCTCTCCCCCAGTCCCTACACGTATCCCATTCCCTCTCCCCCCAGTCCCTACAAGTATCCCATTCCCTCTCCCCCCAGTCCCTACACGTATCCCATTCCATCTCCCCTCAGTCCTTACATGTATCCCATTCCCTCTCCCCCAGTCTCTAAATGTATCCCATTCCCTCTCCCCTCAGTCCTTACACGTATCCCATTCCCTCTCCCCCAGTCCCTACACGTATCCCATCCCCTCTCCCCTCAGTCCTTACACACATATCCCATTCCCTCTCCCCCAGTCCCTACATCAACTCCATTCCCTCCCCCCAGTCCCTACATCGCATCCCATTCCTCTCTCTCTCCCCCCAGTCCCTACATCGTATCCCATTCCTCTCCCCAGTCCCTACATGTATCTCCTTCCCTCTCCCCTCAGTCCTACACTTATCCTAGTATTCCCTCTCCCTCAGTCCTACACATATCCTATCTTCTCTCCCCAGTCCCTACACTTATCCCATTCCCTCTCCCTCCCCCCAGTCCCTGCTACATGTATCTCCTTCCTCTCTCCCCTCAGTCCCCACGCATCCCATTCCCTCTCCCCTCAGTCCTACACATATCCCATTCCCTCTCCCCCCCAGTCCCTTAAGCATGTATCCTACCTCTTTTCCCCAGTCCCTGCATGTATCCCCCAGTCCCTACATGTATCTCCTTCCCTCTCCCCTCAGTCCTTACACATATCCCATTCCCTCCCCCCAGTCCTTCCATATGTCCCATTCCTACCCCCCAGACTCTCCATGTGTCTCCATTTCCTCTCCCTCCATTCCCCCCCACAGCTCCAACATGTGTCTTCATTCCCTCTCGCCCATTCCCACCTACGACCCCTGCGACCATGGTAGGTACGCCACTGACTGAAGCTCAGTTATAACATTGGAGGCATATGACACATAAAAAAATAAAACCCTCAATGTAAATTTTAACATTGATTGACAGGAAGGTAAGATGGACGCATCCAGTTGCAGGTTAAAGAGGTGTGGGTTTCTACAATTATTTCTGTTTTAAAAGACGGGATAAGCGAACAAAACCATAAAGATTCTAGAACAGTAGTGTCCAGAAGGTAGATACCCAGCTCTTGGGGAGCTTCAACTCCCATAATGCTTTGCCAGCCATGAATATGCTGACCAATACAGAATAGTATCCTACTATTAGAACCTAAACATAGAACATCGTATATTACCACAACAATTTCTATCTTCCTCCATAGAAAAGTAGTTTCACCTTTATTCTTGCAAATAAAGCTCAGTTAATGACACTTATAGGCTTGTTGCACAATAAGATCACAGAAAAACAGCAACAAAGTAAACACAAAATGCCAACTGTGAAGATTTTTATTCATCATAGTGAACATTAGCCCTTTTTGCACGTTTGGATGTTTGTTGTAATACAAATCATCACCACTTTGCAAAACAGGCCGAATAGGTAATTACAAAGCTACAAGTTCAAATTGTGCTGTGAAGGGGTTAAAATACCGTAATATAATAGCTGGATTTTATAATGGATTGAAAATCACTGCTCTTTTATTGGGACTGCTCTCACTGTGAGAGGAAATTGTACCAAAAATGCAGCTGTATCCTTACCACCCACGGAAATACTTTAGTTAACTGTACCCTCTGAAAAATGAATGCGTTCCCTCCTGCTGAACCCAATGAATTCATTCTATTCAATATTTATCTCTACTTACTGTAGATGTGATCAAAGCGGCCTTAAAAATGCTTTTCTACGTGCGTTTGAGAGTAGACAAACTGTTATCACTTACATGTAAACACAATAAAGTGTTTAACTAAATAATGATCACTTAGCATTGTAACACAAAATACCAGCTTATGCATTTATGCAATTATATATTCTCTGCTTTTGTCTGACCCAATGTGCTTTCACGACTGTCATTAAATCAGACTAAAACACTTTTAGGCTATTGAACAAAATAGTAAAAATTCTTTGCTTTTTATGATATCAAAAGGGGAACTGTAGTGGTTATTTGTAAAAGGGCAATCAATGTTTTTCTTCATAGGATCAGTAGATCGGTGAAGTAAATTACAATTTGTATCATCGTCCCGGGCTTATGGAATTCTAAACTGGGTCCAAAAGGAATGCAGCCAACACACTTACAGTGCTGCTTCCTACGACATGATACATGGACCCAGTGATAGAACAAACTTAGTACAACAATAATCTCAGTGTATTTCAATTATCCAGCTCAGAATTTTATACATACAAAATAAATAAAATTTATTTGGGCAACACTGAAACTGGCAAGAAAAAAAAAAAAGAAAAGACAGATCCACTGAGTTTATTTCAGGGGAAACAAATGTCCAAATGATGATAGTCTTAAGATTCATACCTAGCTTTTAAAAAGTTACTTCAACAACGAATGTAGTTTTTGTCTTTACGAAGGGTACTTCATTGATTGGGCTGAAGGGACAGGTATACATTTTAGTCTGAGAATGAGGGTAGAAATTAACTATTCAAAGTTGCATCTTGATAGGGCGACATTGTTATTGCAGGCACTCACAATAGCACAGAGTCTATAAACCAAACTAAAATTAGTTCTGTTTAAAAGCACGTCACTAGGATATGACATGAATACAGGAGAATTAGGGTTGAGGGGGGAGGTAGGGTTTGTGTAAGTATTAGGGTAGTTTTAAGGTTTAATTTACAAAGTATATAGGGTAAAGACTAGGTGAGGCTGATACAATTTTTATCACACATCACCTAGAAGGCAGACACCGCTAATCCTAAAATACCATAACTAAACTGTCAATCCCTACGACACCCCCATAACTCAACAACATGGGGTACAATGCTGCAGCCTGCATTTTTGCTTCATCTTATATGAAGGTGTACAGAATAGTCTCATATTCCATATAGAACCTCAACATAGAGCATAGTAAATTACCACAACAATTTCTATCTTCCTCCATAGAAAAGTAGTTTCACCTTTATTCTTGCAAATAAATCTCAGTTAATGACACTTATAGGCTTGTTGCACAATAAAATCCGAGTGCTGTAATATCACTCGGCATTATAAACAGCACAATTATAACAAAACACCTTTGTCACCTAGGTGTATTTCTTGCGTTCCATTAAACAATGGCAACATTTTTAACTGGACTTTTTAATTTAAATCACTATGCCTTCTTGTCTTTGCTGGTCATGCTATATTCCTATATCTCCTCCCCCCCCCCCCAAATATACCATTCAGCTTTTTCTGATCGACATTTATAGCTGCCTTGTAGTCATTATGCCATTTTATATTTAAAGGGTCTCTATAGGTGTCCAGATCATTTTATCTCAATTAAGTGGTCTGACTGCCATGCCTCTGTCTGTTAAACCCTGCAACTGAAAACATTGCTATTTTGCAGGAATGGCAACATTTTAATTACAGGTTTAGCACAACTCCAGTGATTGTCTTCTTGACAGCAACGAGAGGCACTTCCGCATTCATAACTTAGTTAAACTCCGTTCTAGCTCAAAAGACTCTTCGAGAGCATTTGACTGATGCAGTGTGGAGTTTTGCTGTGCATGCGCACTAGCCTGCCATGCTTCCCGATGAGTCGGATGCGATCATGTAGCATGGAGACCAGCGCAACTCAGGATGTAAGGTCAGTAAATCTTATGTTTTTAACCCCTCGATAGGTAGTGGTAGACAATATAAACATTAGGAATACACATTTGTATTCATAATGAAATAGTGCTCCTTTAAAACAATGTTGTGGCTCACTGAGAGTGTTTTCCATTTCTTATTTTCTAATAAATTTTTGTCGAGTTGAAAGATGTCTGGTTTGCAAAAGAGTCTATCAGACACACTATCATTCTCTGAGAATTCATATTCTCTGAGTAAGAGAGCTCTAGGGATGCCCTCTTGTCTCTCTGTTTACCTAGATAATCTTTGTCTGTCTGTATCATATCAGTCATACCATCTTGCACCCCTGTCAGACTACCATAAAATGTGAATATTATATATTGATATAATTAAAAGGACAATCATCATTTAAAAAAAAAAAAAATTACACTATTTAATAAAACATTGAAAATCCCCTATATCTTGGGTTAACTGTTTTTTTTCATGATTTGTTTTCTCAAATTCATATAAAAAATGTGTCAAATGACCAATCCAGTTCAGGCAAGGCAAAGCCAGGACGTAGAAACATTGTTTCAATTCTCTTAATCTCTCTATGCTTCCTCTATACTAACAATGATTGACAGAGAGATAAGATGGAGGCGCCCATTTGTAGGATAAACGGGTGTGAATTTCTGCATTTGATTTTATTTTATACACCTCATAAATTCACATTTGTTAAATATAGGAAATATGTAAACATAGCGTTAAAAATACTGGGTAGCAACAGTTTCCCTTTAAAATGTAAAACCAAACCTAACACACACACACACAAAGACAGTGTAAACAATACAAGGAAATCAAACACTGTAGATGTATGAAGAACGCCTCCATGAATTAAATGAAACCTTACTTGTAGATATTGCATTATTCTAAGATCCCTTTCAAAATGTTTTTTTTTTTCATATCCTTTCTTAAAACCCCACATATTTTTTATGCCTGGCCTTGACTCATTTCAGTACACATATTTTTTAGATATTTATAAGATATGTTCTTCATTCAGAATTAAACAATGCTGCTTTAGTTCTAACCCTGCTCTTCAGAATGTAGTTTGCTAAACACACATTCATTGTTATTTACAAAACTCTGGATTGTACTGAATTAAAATCCAAATTACAAAACGTTCGAGATCAGGTACGTTAGCCTAAATTTAGCAATTTGTGTTTTAATTGGCTGGAATTTGATTTTTATTGGAGAAAACTCCCAATGACGATCGTCTGGGAATTAGCTTTTGAGATTTTATTTAACATAAGCAAAAGTATTTCAGAATGAGGTTTAATACTTGCATTTTCTTCTACCGCTAAACTGCCTTTTTGTATTTTTAATATACTTAAAACTAAAATATAATGGCAATGACTAAAATTTGAAAACTTTGAGGAATTTGAGTAAAACTCAAATTTTAAGCTATGTACACGTTTAACTATTGTTCATAAGCAAGCACACAATCCGTTCTAGACTTAGTGATTTGGTATAGCTAGAATCAAATTTCAGTAGAGTCAGTGTATTTCTAAAAAAAAAAAAAAAAATCTCTTTGTTTGTTTTCTTCTTTTCACCGAATTGAATTTTCAAACCAAAATCATTTTTTTTAAACTGAAATTTTTCAAAACTGAAAAATCGCGGAAATCCAAACGGAATCAATTTGAAAGAACTGAATATCATCCCTGTGCACAAGTCTATTAATTTTCATCTTATCACCAGCAGAAAAAATTAGGCCGATACTCGTAATTAATAGGGTACAGAGGTGCGGAAACAACGAAAATGCAATGTGGAGGATACATTATTAAAAGTTAATTTAAATAATGTCAAAATCAAATGGCTACTTATTTAACTTGATTGGAACACCTATTAGATGCATACAAAAACTTAACAGGATCACGATCGTGTCTGAAGAAGTGACTGTTTAATGAACATAACGCTTAATAAGGCAATTTTGTTCCTTAAAGCAAGGCATTCTCCTAATGGCGGTCAGTGTGATGTCCAAGAATACATACCAGCAGAGAGAACAGGAAATAATAAAACTGGGTGTCCGATCCCTGCTGCAGAAGATGTTTCATTTGGGAAGCGTTCGCAGTGAAGAGAGCCATGTCAAGGAATCCTTGGGCCAAAGTCTTTGTTCTCGCATAGGTGTTGATATTCCTTATTACCTGAAGTAAGCGTAACAAAAGAAGAGGTTTGGACCAGCAAGAGATTCTCCATAAATAATTCATGCACACATTTTATTGCTTGTATTTGTAATAAAAGTCGTTTTGTGCCTCCAGCTACTTCATCATCTAAAATAGCAATCACCGATTGTTATGAAACTACTACTCTCACAATGTCAAGAGATTCCATTTTACAAATGTACGAACAAGATGTCTAAGCAATAAAAAGAGTGATGCCGTTGGCATACATCGACAAACACAGCATGTACTCTCTTTGTAAAGACAATGGCATCACCTGCCATAAGATTATGGTTTGTCACACCCAGTTTGCCCTTAATTGACCTACAGAAAGCAATAATTGCCCATTAAACTTTATATATACAATTGTAAACATGACAATTACTATTAATCTCTCACCTATGCTGAGAACATTGGCATATATATATATATATATACACCTCTTCTGTGCTCTGAATCTCACTACTTTTAGTCCGATTTGAAGCATGAGAGCTTAGTGGTCTGATGGTGGTTCAACAATAATTAAGGATGCATACAAATGAATAAACTTGGAGATTTGTCTTTCTGTCCAAACTACAATGCTTCAGAATTTGGGCCGACCTGGTGAACAGTCAAATTACTGAACTCTGACCTAAATATACATGAATCACAAACTAGACATGTGCAATTGGGTTCGGTCCAAAATCGTCAATTTGGACATAGGGGTAGGATTAAGCGTAGGGTTAGGGTTGGGGGTAGGGTTAGGGTTGGTGAATTGCCAAAGTCACGTATCCCCAAAATCCCAAAGTGCCGAAGTCCCGAATTGTGAATAGCCATATTCCCGAATTGCTGAATTGCCAAAGTCCCGAATTTCGGAAGTGCCGAACCGAACTGAAGTGCCGAATTGCCGAATTGCTAAAGTCCCGTATTCCCAAAGTCCCGAACCGAACATCCCTATCACAAACCAACTAAAATATGCAATGGTAAAGCATGTTTTGTTTGATTTGTGATGTTAGATTCCACCTTCGGTGCCAATAATAACAAAATGGTTGATGAGAAAAAGAAAGATGATTGATGCCTAAGGGCCATTTACAAAATGGCCGATTTTATTCATAGATCAAGTGAGAAGTGGCCAAATGAGGGAAAAAAAGATAGAGCAGTATAAAAAAAAAAAGTTTATATGTTAATACATATAGAATAAATTAATTATTGATTTTTACATTTGTTTTACTTCTCTTTTTCCCTTTATCGGTTACTTTTTAAACTGTGAACCAAATGGCAGGAAAGTGTACTGCAATATATATATATATACAGGGAGTGCAGAATTATTAGGCAAATGAGTATTTTGACCACATCATCCTCTTTATGCATGTTGTCTTACTCCAAGCTGTATAGGCTCGAAAGCCTACTACCAATTAAGCATATTAGGTGATGTGCATCTCTGTAATGAGAAGGGGTGTGGTCTAATGACATCAACACCCTATATCAGGTGTGCATAATTATTAGGCAACTTCCTTTCCTTTGGCAAAATGGGTCAAAAGAAGGACTTGACAGGCTCAGAAAAGTCAAAAATAGTGAGATATCTTGCAGAGGGATGCAGCACTCTTAAAATTGCAAAGCTTCTGAAGCGTGATCATCGAACAATCAAGCGTTTCATTCAAAATAGTCAACAGGGTCGCAAGAAGCGTGTGGAAAAACCAAGGCGCAAAATAACTGCCCATGAACTGAGAAAAGTCAAGCGTGCAGCTGCCACGATGCCACTTGCCACCAGTTTGGCCATATTTCAGAGCTGCAACATCACTGGAGTGCCCAAAAGCACAAGGTGTGCAATACTCAGAGACATGGCCAAGGTAAGAAAGGCTGAAAGACGACCACCACTGAACAAGACACACAAGCTGAAACGTCAAGACTGGGCCAAGAAATATCTCAAGACTGATTTTTCTAAGGTTTTATGGACTGATGAAATGAGAGTGAGTCTTGATGGGCCAGATGGATGGGCCCGTGGCTGGATTGGTAAAGGGCAGAGAGCTCCAGTCCGACTCAGACGCCAGCAAGGTGGAGGTGGAGTACTGGTTTGGGCTGGTATCATCAAAGATGAGCTTGTGGGGCCTTTTCGGGTTGAGGATGGAGTCAAGCTCAACTCCCAGTCCTACTGCCAGTTCCTGGAAGACACCTTCTTCAAGCAGTGGTACAGGAAGAAGTCTGCATCCTTCAAGAAAAACATGATTTTCATGCAGGACAATGCTCCATCACACGCGTCCAAGTACTCCACAGCGTGGCTGGCAAGAAAGGGTATAAAAGAAGAAAATCTAATGACATGGCCTCCTTGTTCACCTGATCTGAACCCCATTGAGAACCTGTGGTCCATCATCAAATGTGAGATTTACAAGGAGGGAAAACAGTACACCTCTCTGAACAGTGTCTGGGAGGCTGTGGTTGCTGCTGCACGCAATGTTGATGGTGAACAGATCAAAACACTGACAGAATCCATGGATGGCAGGCTTTTGAGTGTCCTTGCAAAGAAAGGTGGCTATATTGGTCACTGATTTGTTTTTGTTTTGTTTTTGAATGTCAGAAATGTATATTTGTGAATGTTGAGATGTTATATTGGTTTCACTGGTAATAATAAATAATTGAAATGGGTATATATTTGTTTTTTGTTAAGTTGCCTAATAATTATGCACAGTAATAGTCACCTGCACACACAGATATCCCCCTAACATAGCTATAACTAAAAACAAACTAAAAACTACTTCCAAAAATATTCAGCTTTGATATTAATGAGTTTTTTGGGTTCATTGAGAACATGGTTGTTGTTCAATAATAAAATTAATCCTCAAAAATACAACTTGCCTAATAATTCTGCACTCCCTGTATATTACATTATGCATATATTATGCAGTACACTGATTGGCCCATTTTTGCATTATTTTTGTTCAAATTATTTCTCCACTCTGGGGGTAGCTGGGAATCCTAATACGTAGAACAAAACTATAGCATATACATGTATGTATTCCTAACACAATAGGGTTCCTTTAAGAAACAATGAAGACCAGATAAAAAATAAAATAAAAAAAATAATGTTTTATTTATTATTTATTACTGGTATTTATAAAGCGCCAACAGATTCCGTAGCGCTGTACAATTAGTGGAGAACATACAATATACACAGACAAATACAAAAGGTAGAGAGAGCCCTGCCCGTAAGTTGAGATCTGGCCATTTAAGCTCTTTTATACAAAGTCCATAGGTAGATAGCCCATGAGCTTACAATCTAAGGATACCGTGGGGATGTGAGACAAGAGGTAGCAGGAGAAATTAGGAAGTGATGGCTAAATAAGTAAACAGACTGTTGCAGCTTTTGGTAGAATATAGAGGGAAAAAAGAGGTAATTGAGTGAGAATTTTAAATAGCTGGAGGAGCATGCTATAAATTTAGGGGGAACCTGGGTGGGCAGATGGGTGGGTTGAGCTGAGTCTTGTTGCAAAGATGACTTGTTGCAAAGATGGTATTGGAAGTGGGCCTTAAAGCTGTAACGTTCATTTGAAGAGGCTTGTTGCAAAGATGGTATGGGAAACGTGCCTTAAAGCTGTAGTGTTCAATGGATGAGGCTTGTTGCAAAGATGGTATGAGAAATAGAGGACTCCTGGAATCACTTGAGCAAAGCTTCATTTATTTAACTCCCCAAAGAGTGAGACCCTTGCAGACACTCATAGCAATTACCTGTTGTAATGTCTCTTAAAGGTATACTCTGCACACCATAATAACTTAAAGGGACACAATAGTCACCCAGACCACTTCAGCTCAATGAAGTGGTCTGGGTGCCAGGTCCTCCAGGTTTTAACCCTTCAGATGTAAACATAGCAGTTTCAGAGAAACTGCTATGTTTACATTGCAGGGTTAGTCCAACCTCTAGTGGCAGTCCTCCTGACAGCTGCTAGAGGCGCTTCTGTGACGCTGGATGCTAAAATTGTATTCAGCATGCAGAACGTCCATAGGAAAGCATTGCCACTCTTGCCGCGCATGCGCATTCCGCTCCACTCGGGAGCTTATGTCGGCGGGGGAGGAGAGGCCACCAGCGCCAAAAGAGCCTGGCGCTGCATAAAGGTAAGTGGCTGATGAGGTTTTAACCTGAGGGTAGGGGGTCCTAAGGATGATATAGTGTCAGGAAAACACGTTTGTTTTCCTGACACTCTAGTGATCCTTTAATAGAATTGTACTTGTTCTTAGCCAATCAGTGGCGCCACTTCCCGATGCTACCTGAACATTCCATTATGACAAACTTCTGAAAGCGGAAGAACAGACTTTGGATTTCACCAACTTTGAATGATTTAAACCTTAAAGGTAAGACATAACCAGGGACCTCCTGGCATAATTCCAATGAAGCTGTTATGGTAGCTAGAGTGCTCCTTTAATACATTCCCACTGAGGGTTGGGTTCTGTCACAAATTCAATCAGGGCACCCAATGAGGAAAGCTTACAAGCTAGTTATACAGGCTAAAGACTATATGACATTTGTCCTAGATATATACAATATGTGAGTGTTGAAGGAACACTCCCGACCCCTAAAGCATTTTAGTTTGCCGAAGAGCTTTATGTGTGATGAGTCTGTCCTCCTTTTTTTAATTTTGGAAACAGTGCAGATTTCAACAGAAATTGACACTTTTATAAATTATACTGGTTACACCCCCCGGCTTTTCAAGCAGAGAGCAGGTTCAGTTACTTCCTGGTTTGTTTAGCTTATTTGCACTGAACTCAAGAGGCAGCAATTGCCCAGATCACCTGCCTTGCAAAGACTTCTCATTGAGCTGCATTGGGAAGTCTGTGATTGGACAGCAACAGAAAGTCTGGGTGGGGCTAGAAGGAGAGGGCTTGCAGAGGCAGCAGAGAATAGATCTGTAATTTTTGCAAGCTGTATTTAGACATAACTCCAATGAAACAAATGCATGATTAAATACGTGTTCATGTTTTCATGTGTGGTATATCTACTAAACAGTGATTTTTATTTATTTTCTATTTAGGCAGTGGAGTGTCCCTTTAATGTGATGCAATATGAAAATTCACATTTTGATCCATTCAAATTTAATTTAAAAAAGACTATTAAATGATCGTTTAATAGTTACATTTCAGCAAGTTTACTCTGCACACTTCAATGACTTTGCATGAAAAGCTTGGGATTGACTTCAAAAAATAAAATCATTTAAAATGTGACAAATTAATTATTTGAGAGGATCTGTTATGCATAATATCAAGACACCTGCACCATAAATAAGTATTATTAATGTCTCAGCCTGTTAAGTGATTATAATCATGCATAATGTATTTTTTTGTTCCCTATTGTCAATTACTGTTCCAAACGGGGTAAGAGAGAGACTCAACGGACCTGCCATGTAAACTTTGTGCACCGTTTTACTTTTAGGAGTGGAATTAAAAAAACTATGTCCATGGAAAAATTGGTGTCAATTCAATAAATCAGATTTTTCAGAAGGATTTTTACAAAATTTCAGGAGTCTGTCAGAAAAACCACACAGAATTCTACCGTTAGCAACAGAGATTCGAAGTATTTCACGTTAGTATTGATCACATGTTAACAGGGTATCGTGTGCTTTTTATAAGGACATATTGAGCAATTATTTTGTTTTTAAAGGGGCGTAAAGTGCAGTGATGACTAGTGATGCAAATTATGACTTGCCTCGTTATCTCGGATTTCAGAGCTCTGAACATTATTTCTTACAGAAACTGTAGCCAAAAAATGGGGCAAATGTTTCTTTTTTTTTTGTTACGAAGCAGCTGAAGTGCCAGAGATAGGTGCAGGGTTGTAGGGTTTGGAGAATATTGGATAGAAGTCTGACTCCCATCAAAATGAGGCAGCCGTGATATAGGCTTTGCAGTACATTGCCACGATATACATTTTCACAAGTAAAGCTCGCCAGAATCTTATCTCTCTGCTCTTCTGAGCCAAATCCAAAGCTTTGCCAGCGACTTCTTTTATTTCTACTTACAGCACCCACCTCAATAGTGTAAACCAAGGGTGCCCAAAAGGTAGATCCAAATGTTGTAGAACTACAACTCCCATGATGCTTTGCAAGCCTTTAGAATGGCAAAGCATCATGCAAGCTGTAGTTTTTAAACATCAGGGGATCTACCTTTTGGGCATCGCTGGTGTAATCCATACACAAGCCACTTTTTCACCTACTACATTAAACCAGTTGGAAGCATGAAGCATTGTCTAGACTCTTAAAAAACAATATCTTCCCTACAGAATTGTCAGCATGTGGCGGTGCATATCAAGAAGTCAAACGCACCATTTCTAGTCTGTAGGCAATAATTGCCGTAATGTTGTATTTAAGTTCTTAGTTACATATCCCAGGTCACATTCAAGTTTTAAGATTCAGCCAATGCGACTCTGAATTACAGCAAGGAAAGTGGCTGCAGTGCACATACCTTAACTCCATTAAATAAGCAAGCAATCTGTTCCTCGTTTATTGCAAAATAAACCCACAGCATTGATACATTCTAAAGTGAATATTGCAAAAATGATACGTTAGAACAGAACATTACGTTTACTTAAAAAGGCATTTTGGCTGTTTTGAGATTAAATTTGAAATTCATTCTGAATTCTCACTTAAGTAAGTAACCCTGGTAATATTTAAAACTGACTTGGAATCGTTTATGTGAGACTGATTGGATACTGAGTTATAGGATCAGGTCCGCTGCAGGGGAATGGACCTGATGCTTTTCATATTTATAACCATAAAAAAAGAAAACATTTAAAGGGACACCTTGTCACCAGAACCACTACAGCGTAATGCAGTAGTTCTGGTGTCTACTGCCGGCCCATGCTGGTTTTTCAATGTAAACACTGCCTTTGCAGAGAAACTGCAGTGTTTACATTGCTGCCTAGTAACACCTGTAGTGGCAGTCACTCAGACGGCCACTAGAGGCGCTTTCTAGTCACATTGTGCAGCACCTACATTCAGTGTCTAAACGTTCCCTATAGAGAACTTTGGCCAGCCACGGAGAGACCGGTGCGGCAATGGAGAACATGTAAGAAAGCTCACATTTTCACTGCAATCCAAGGAATGCGAGGGGATTAAACAGCCATATTCATATTCCAAACACTATAGTGTTCCTTTAATGAATGAATGAATGGGTACAGGAATCAAACATGTAATTCTGAATTCTTATTAAATAATGTACAGTGCTATATGGCATATCTGGGAGAGAGAGCCAGTTCCTCGTTCTGCCCACATGGATAGAATGTTGAACCCAATCTTAATAGTGCTTGTGTTGGAGTGCATTCGTGCAGGCTAGCTATGCTGTCTGAATAATGTCAGTGCTCACATGGATCAAATTATCTGATTGAATCAGACATGTCACAGAAATGGCAGAGAATTATTTAGATGAGAAACACTGCTCTGAAATCATGATTTGCTTTGCTAACCTGGAGGAGTGGGGCAGAAAGAAAAAATAGACTCTTTTCGAGAAAAATAAAAATATGATAATAAAATAGACTAGCTATGAGTATTTTAAGTGTAAATAACAGTGTTATCTCCAACACTAAGCATGATCTACTTGGCCATATTTTTTTTTAAATTTGGGCAAACAAATTTTGTCTACGCGGTGGTTAGGCTGGTCCAGGGAAACAATTTGGCAGAACATTTCAGATGAACCAAATGAGAGAAAAACGGGTGTCTATCAGTGCCCTTCAAAATAATTATCTAATATTTCAATATATGTATATATATATATATATATATATATATATATTTTGAAGTACAACGAAAGGCTTATTTCAGCGCCCTTCTAATGAAGCCAATTCCGACTGAATAGAATCGTATTATAACATTCACATTCCATCCACATTCGGTCAGTATTCTTGATTCTGAGCATTCAGTTATTTTTGATCATTCGGTTGTAAATTTTACGTTTTCAGCCCAGCTGATTCCTGGTTCCTTCGTTCTTTCTTTTTTATTTAGTGGTTGACACATAATCATCAATCCTGTACAGGCAGAATTACAAATCACAAATAACTGAATTTACTCATCCATTCTCTGTTTCAGTTGCTTCATTATGAGGTCATGTGGCGTTTCAGACTTACAGAATTCGGACAACATGACGAATGCAAAAATTCGGCCATACCAATTCGTCCGAAACTGAATGTGCAAGTCTAGTCTCTCCATTACGTATCAAGATGTCTAAATGGGCTTTGTACATGAGAACATAATGACTTTTATATTCAAAGAATATGTTGATAACCCCTTTCATAGAGCGTTGGATAAATTCATCAAACTAACGGAACACTTTTATGCCTTTACTTTTTAAAATACACAACTTTTCGCAAAATAACAAAACAAGAATTAAACCCCTTTGCTATTTTGCTGCTATCAGACTGGAATGTACATCAAATTATTTTCATATATAAGCAAAGGGACTCATTTTGCTGACAACATACGGCTTCCTTCACGGAAAGATTTTTATACATAACCTACATGGTTTCAAGGAATGGGCGTTTTACTACATTCACAAATGCGGATTAAAATTTTATAGGCAGAGCCTGGTAAATCATGACAATGCTGACACGTCATCTGTTACAAAGGGGTTAATTATTGCCTGTAACATGAATAACTGAGAGCCTGCTTAATAGAGAGTAAAAAAAAATATTAAATCTCCTTACCAAAAGGTTAAAGACAGCTGTGAAGTGCCGAAATGACGAATGTATGAACACCTTGACACACAGATACATGTACTCACACTACACACTGACACACAGATACACACACTGGCACTAACACAAAGATACACAAACTAGCACTAACAAAAGATACACACTTTGTCTCATACACACACTCATATACACACTGACCAACACCCTCAGAGAAACACTGGCACATACACTCAGACACGCACTGACATACAGATAAACACTCTCACATACACACAGATACACACATTGGCACATAAACACTCAGATACATATTGACACACAGATACACACACATTCTTAGGTATACACTGTATGCACATAGACACATATTCTCAGATATACACTGACACGCAGATACACACACACTGACATACAACTACACACTGGTAAATAGACACACTGACACACAGATACACACTGACAAACAAAGATATGCACACTAACACACACACACACACACACACACACAAACCTAGATACGAACATACACACACACACACACACACACTCTGACACACAAAATTTTACGTTTTCAGCCCAGCTGATTCCTGGTTCCTTCGTTCTTTCTTTTTTATTTAGTGGTTGACACATAATCATCAATCCTGTACAGGCAGAATTACAAATCACAAATAACTGAATTTACTCATCCATTCTCTGTTTCAGTTGCTTCATTATGAGGTCATGTGGCGTTTCAGACTTACAGAATTCGGACAACATGACGAATGCAAAAATTCGGCCATACCAATTCGTCCGAAACTGAATGTGCAAGTCTAGTCTCTCCATTACGTATCAAGATGTCTAAATGGGCTTTGTACATGAGAACATAATGACTTTTATATTCAAAGAATATGTTGATAACCCCTTTCATAGAGCGTTGGATAAATTCATCAAACTAACGGAACACTTTTATGCCTTTACTTTTTAAAATACACAACTTTTCGCAAAATAACAAAACAAGAATTAAACCCCTTTGCTATTTTGCTGCTATCAGACTGGAATGTACATCAAATTATTTTCATATATAAGCAAAGGGACTCATTTTGCTGACAACATACGGCTTCCTTCACGGAAAGATTTTTATACATAACCTACATGGTTTCAAGGAATGGGCGTTTTACTACATTCACAAATGCGGATTAAAATTTTATAGGCAGAGCCTGGTAAATCATGACAATGCTGACACGTCATCTGTTACAAAGGGGTTAATTATTGCCTGTAACATGAATAACTGAGAGCCTGCTTAATAGAGAGTAAAAAAAAAATATTAAATCTCCTTACCAAAAGGTTAAAGACAGCTGTGAAGTGCAGATCACCAAACATGTATGAACACCTTGACACACAGATACATGTACTCACACTACACACTGACACACAGATACACACACTGGCACTAACACAAAGATACACAAACTAGCACTAACAAAAGATACACACTTTGTCTCATACACACACTCATATACACACTGACCAACACCCTCAGAGAAACACTGGCACATACACTCAGACACGCACTGACATACAGATAAACACTCTCACATACACACAGATACACACATTGGCACATAAACACTCAGATACATATTGACACACAGATACACACACATTCTTAGGTATACACTGTATGCACATAGACACATATTCTCAGATATACACTGACACGCAGATACACACACACTGACATACAACTACACACTGGTAAATAGACACACTGACACACAGATACACACTGACAAACAAAGATATGCACACTAACACACACACACACACACACAAACCTAGATACGAACATACACACACACACACACACACACTCTGACACACAAAAACACATACATGTCATATTTATATAATTGCACCTTTCTATTAGATTATCTTTTGTATCCTAGGATGGTGGCTTGCTTGGGGTCCTGGTGGTGGTGGCTGAGGCTGATGGGAGTGAGCACACTGCAGCTCACTCCAGCCTCTCCACTGCCTCCATGCTGTCTGTACCACCACTGCCTCCAGCCTCCTTCTCCCTCCATTCTTCCCGCGTGGCACTCAGTGTCACTTCCTCCCAGCCGGCTGATACTACAGGGGCCCGGTTGTGCTTGAACAGGGCTGCAGCACCCGACCGAGCCCCTGTTAAGCGAGTATTATTGGTTAACTGCAAATTATATATAATATCAGGGAATTTTCACACACACAATCTGAAATACATTGTATGTTAGATTGTGTGATTTCCGGGATATTCCGTATGCAGTGTCAGGGAGCCGCATTGAAAATGCGTGAGACTCCCAGAGCGGCCGGGAGAGTTCGGGTGTCTGCTTTTAAGGAGATGAATTGGAAACAATTCTCCAAGTTAACTATGCTTCCAATTCACCTTCTTAAATTTGAAACTCACTTTAACGTCAATTTGAATTCACAACAATTCTCGCTTTAGTGAATAACTTTAAATAAACAATATAAATCATCTTTACATAAAACCGTTTGGAATAAACAAAACAAAACAAACAAAAAAACCCCAACAACTTATTAATTCAGGATTTTTAACTGGACAACTGCGGGGCTGTGCAATGCCCTTCGGCCAGTGGCGTTTCATGGCATATACCAACAATTACGTTTATTGTAGATTACATTTTGCAAAAAACGACAAGGTTAAGGCTATTCAAAGACCTTTTCTGTCAAATGGAATTATCTTGATCTCTGCTAATTCACTTTGCAGAGTTACTGAAGCATCTACTTATTGAGTGGATTCACAGACCTGCTATTTTCAGACATCATTTTAGCAAGAGTTGTTCAGATGATTCCGAAGTGTGTTTTTCCAAATTAGTAAAACCCTCGGAACATCTGGAATCTGCTCAGATGACTAATAACTAATCGAAAAAGATAAGGGTGGAGGCTGTGTGGCGGATGTAGCCAAGAATCTAGACATCAAATCCGCATTTAGTGTTATTCGTTTTTTTGTTTTTTTTGTGTGTATACGACAGACCACGAAAAAAAGTATATAAAAAAAACCTTACGTTTATTCTAGTTTGGCCACTGAGATCTTGTTGGAAAAGTGGATCTTCGTCGGTGGACAAATCGCTATCTTCTTCAGGTGGTCGTCTGTGCATGTTTCGATGAAACAGTGAACTCATAATAACCTTGAGAAGAAAAAAAAATGTATAACATAAGATTTAAAAGCTACAAATAAATAAATAAATAAATAAATAAAAATTTAAATCACGTGCTTAAAATTCTTAGGTCTAAAAGTAAAAAAAAAAAAAAGTATTAAAACACCACTAACATTAGGCGATTCTCATTCAATATCACACCCACAGCTTGTACGCTTGCCTTTTAGCTCTCTCTGCGGTGGTCCTGTAAGCTGAATGTCAGTGTCCAGACCTGTCTCCCATCCCTCCATTCAGAGTAACTGACTGCTGACTCCAATAGGTATTTCAAAGCTTTTAGCTGGATGGTACAGTTTTATTTTTTTAAACAGTTCACCGTGAAGTTTCTTTATTGACCGGCTGCTATAATAGCAGGTGCATTCACTGCAGTAAGCTGGGGGGTGGGGGGGGCTTTTTTCCTTTATCTATATATTTTTTTAAAGAGTAATCTCATAAAAAAAAGATTTTTGGATATCTGTTGTCTCTTTTTGTCAGTTATACTACTGTCTTGGGTTTAACCCTTTGTTGCACTGCTCTGTAATACAATCCCGGTAATTATCTGCAAGCCTGTGGCAGAGAATTATAGGAGTTTTAGTCCAAGAATCATAGTTGGATTCCAATCATACCATAGATACCAGTCTGATCAAGACAGCAGTAGATGCTAACCTCTAATTACATTTGAGCAGCACTGCTTCCCAGTGACATGGTACATCTTTGATATGAGCCCCTCGTTAATAGGTCATTTAGGAGGGAGCATTAACCCTTAAGCAGTGTCAGAGTTCCCTCTTCTCTAACAGTCATTAGCCATTTGATATTATCTACAATCTTACCCCAAAAAAGGTGATTAAGGGTTACAAATGTCCCTCGGTGCTGGGTCAGTGGTCTGCCTCCTCCGACGTCTGGGCAAAGTGTCAGTTAGGCAAACTAAAGTCCAGTAACTTCCCGGAAGCACCTCTAGTGGCTGTGTGGGAGACAGCTACTAGAGGCATTTTTAGTTCTGCAATGTAATTATTACAGTTTATCTAAAACTGCAATGTTAACATTGTAGGACTAATGGCGGTAGGGCCATTGCACCCAGACCACTTCAATGAGCTGAAGTGGTCTGGGTGACCATAGTGTCCCTTTAAGGTAAGGATCAACAAAGCTGAATTTGAAAAATTCTCTAAACCAACAATTCTAGTTCAGATACCCTGGCCTTTAATTTTAAATTGAGTTTTCTGATGACTACATGTAGGGCTGATACTGCATTTATTTGTTTGTTACTGGACATACTGTTTGTGCCACATACAGGTTACCAGGGTATGAGAATTGCCCAATAGCTCCCATAGGGCAATCAATTCATTAGCATTAACCAGAAAATCAATTAACCGCTAAGAGTATAAACTGTACTGCTAAATTTAACCTCTGCTTTACGAGAGCGCAAACTGCACTGCTAAGAACTAAGTTAACAGATAAGTTAACTGATTCACCCCTGGAGTGTAAACTGCCAAATAAATTAACTGCTTTACCAACAGAGTGTAAAGTGCACTATTAACCTTAAAGGGACACTCCAGTCTCCTAAAGCACTTTAGCTTGCTGAATAGCTTTATGTGTAAAGAGTGTGCTCACTTTTTTAATTTAACAAAAAGTGCATATAGCAATAGAAATTAGCACAGTTATAAATTAACCTGGTTACACTCCCCTGATTGTCAAGCAGATACATGTTACTTCCTGGCTTGGTTAGCTCAGTGTAGCTAAACTCAAGAGGCAGCAATTGCTCAGAGCACCTACCTTGCAAAGACTTCTCATTGAGCTGCACTGGGAAGTCTGTGATTGGGCAGTCACAGAAAGTCTGGGCGGGGTTAGAAGGGGAGGGCCTGCATAGGCAGCAGACAAGAGATCTGCAGATTTTGCAAGCAGTTTTTAGATATACCCTCAATGGAAAACAAATCATAATTAAATGCATGCAAGTTTTTTATTTGGTTATATCTATTAAATAGTGATTTTCATTTATTTTGCGTTTGGACAGTGGACTGTGCAATTAAGTACTGCACTGCTAGAGTGTAAACTATATGACTAACCTTATCTGGGGCTCCACTAACCTTACCCATTTCACTACTAAAAAGTAGAATCATCACATGCCTTAACTACAGTACTTTAAGAGTATAAACTGCAGCACTAACCTTAACCGTTGTACTACAAGAGTGTAAACTGTAACAGTAACATTAGCTACTGCATTACCCGAGTGTAAAATGCATCACTAACCTTACCCACAATTGTAGGATATATGGTGGGTAAGATAGTGGATATATGTTTTGTGGCAGGTAAAGAAGTGGCAATGCGTTGTGTGGTCATTAAGGTCATTTTTTTCTGTAGTGGTTAAGGTAGTGGATACATGTTTGAGCACCTTGCTGTTATACTTTATACACATAAAGATATATATATATATATATATATATATTTAATTCCATTTATTTTGCCACTTTTATTTAAAATAGGATAATTTTTCTTTAGGGGAATTCATTAAAGTAATAAAATTTAGAATAAAATGACTCAATTTGTGAGCGCTTTGTTTGCATCGGTCCTGGTATTTATTACCGTACACACTGCTTCCTGCGCGAGAGTCACTGCACAGGTCTCTCCAGAGGAAGGAAGTGTCAGCTCCCCGCAGGGAAGCCTCTAATTAAAAAAGCTGTGCTCCACCGTTGTAAAGGAGCTTTGTTAAATTACTTTTTAAGAAGTATGTAGATATATATATATAGCCTTTGAGCAATTGTAAAACATGCCATACCTGAGACTAGTTCTTGGAAGACTGCAATTTTCACAATGCTAAAACCTGAGCTGCATTAGCCATGAAGCGACAAAAATGGCTGCCTAGGACGTGGGCCTAGAGGAGGCTTAGTGAGTCTTTCTGTGGCAGAGGAGGTCCTGGTTTGAGCAGGCTCTCCTCAAGCCAGCAGGGAGGTCAATAAATCTCCTTGCACGACACTGCACTACTACTGCACTCTGATTCATTGATTGAACCCTGGAGCTGCAGGGATGCTCTTTGTACCTGATATCGGTGCAGACAATGGAGCTCTCTCACTGAACCACCAGGCATCCTGTTCACCCTCCACTAGACCACCAGTGAAGGTAAGTGAGGAGGGTGGGGGTAGCAAACCCTACACACACACACACACACACACACAAAACAAATCACACACAATACTTAACTAGCACATACACTCTCAAACACACAACACACCACTCAGAGAAACTGAGCCAAGGGCTCTAGGTTGGGGCTCCAATCTGGCACACTGCGGAGGGCCCTTGGCAACCATAATCTGGCTCTAGCCATAACTGTGCTTGTTTGTGCTTGAGAGTAGTCAATAACATTTGGAAATGCAGAGTCAAACATCTATCAAAATGTTATTTATTCAGTTTGTTAATGATATGTTTCACAAAGTACAGGAACCAAAAAAAGACTCAGAATATTTAGAAACAAATCTAATCTTTTGATAGCAGCCAATCAAAGTGTCACAGAAATAGAAACTAAATTGAAAACTTTAGTTCATTAATAGACAATAGGTGTGCTGAGGGTGAAGGTTCAAATAATCTAATGAGACTTTGACTATAAAACCACATTCATACATAAATTATTCCTTAAGTCATGTTCCATGCGTTCTTCTATAATATATTATTTTTAGTCTTTTATGTAGTTTTATTATATTGCTTACCATACTTGGATTTATCTTCTGTTTTCTTGTATATTGGACAAACATCATTTTTCTGTGGTTATGTTGGCTATATATAAACCTCAATACGATTAAAAAAAACAGTATGTGAGTATGGGGTCCACGTCTGGATTACTTTTTTGGGAGAGCCAAATTAATGCATTGAAGCAAAAATAAAGAATATGAAAACTCTGAGTCCAGAACTGATATGCCTCCCTAGTTTAAAGAGTAATCCAGATGTGGACCCATTGCTCACGGTGCCGAGAGGGATATTGGCTATAACTCACTGACGATGCCTAACAAGGTTGAAACGATTGTCTGGGGTTGTTGTATCTCTCATGCAGAGAGCCGGGCTGCCTTTTGGATCTGTTCTGCCCTTTTGAGTAGAATTAGTCTGATATGCAAATGTTCTGGCTCTTTTTGTAAGGATGAGCTAAAACCAGCCTGAGCGGGGACCCACCGAAGGGCAGGCTAATTGAGCTGTTGTCCGTTCTCAGTACTCTCTTGCAACTTGTTTTTTGCTCTCCAAAAGATTTTCTGTTCCAACAGACTAATAATGTCACATCCAATTACTTTTTTGGCAATATTAAACTCTTTAAGATGAGAGCCCTTTTGCACCCTGAACCGAAGCAATTTCTTGCATCATCTTGTGTAACCACACACATTAAATATCTTATAAAGACCTGATAGGCTTTAGTCCTGTGTCCATAGATATAACCCTTCTTGTGTGGCATACATATAGCTTATAATCCTTAAATCAAGCCTTAATCTGTTTATCTCAAACCAATGTTTGCAGCCTTTGTTTATCTCAGTTCAAATCTCACAGTCTATCACCTCCATCCAAATTTATACAGATTTGGACAATACATTTTGAAGCATTATCATGACGACAGGTGAGGACTAGGCTTTGGCCAACAGGAGAGTCCTAGCTGTTGAAGGGACTGCATCCATAGACTCTTTGCACCATAACCACTATAATGAGCTGTAGTGGACATGGTGTACAGAATGTCCCTTTACTAAAGCACAGAAGCCAGGGAAGCAACGACTGCTTTTGTTTTATCTTATTTTTATATCAACTCATTTATTTCATTTCTTTTTGAGGTTTCGTGATTGATGATTAACTTTCTCGTCACTGAGTTGCATTCTCGATAATATTGACCCGCGACGCGATTTGTACACTCCATTTAGTATTGGCCTTAAACCTGGCAAACCAACAGACTAAAAATAAAAGCAACAATTTATTTGACATGTTTTATGCTAACGAGGATCTGTTTTGTCAGACAGTGCTTTACTTCCCCGCTAAACATTTGTCATGAGCACAGGCTGAGCAGGATGTTTGGTGCTTCTTTCTGTCCTTAATAATATGTAAAGTGCATTCAGAATGTGCAGCTCAGTGCCTTCTAGACAGTCATTACTGAGATTAATGTAGACAAATTAATTTGATTTTAATTTTTATAAGTATCTGCTTTGGAGTCTTGGGAGGAAACATATTCCGTATTTCAAGTAGGA